ATTTCTAATTGTGGCTCAGCTTACAGCAGGTGAAGATCTCAACTAGAAACTTCATGGCAGGTTTCTGTGTCTGCACATGTGTGTATGCACATGTGTACACACGTGCACATGCTTATGCATGAAAATAATGTAACTGAGATACAGTAACAAGTACTACACAAACAAGAACAGAAAAAAATATTTATTATCAAGCTAATACTGACAAGAGAAAAATATTTGGTTGTTATATGTTCAAAACCAGAGAAAAAAGTCCTTGTAACTTGCACTTCTAACTCCCTTTTGTGCTCAGCCCAAGTTGCCACAGATGCATCTCAGCAAGGTCAGGGGCAGATCAGGAAATCTGCACCAAAGGCTACTGCACAGGCACAGAAATACCCAAGCATTCTGAAAGGTGTGAAAGTATTAGTAAAGACGTATCTATGGGAACTGTAATACACTGTAAAAAGTGACTTCATGTTGTAAAAAAGTTTGCACCAGGACAGTAGTTACCTTTATTTTACAATGGACTTAAAACCTTTGTTGCAGTATGCCACCACTACTGCGTATCACTTGAGACAGAAGAAAAAAGAGGAAAAAATATTAGGTTTATAAAGCTGTGGTTGGGATGAACTGCATTATACCCAAGGTAGGAACTGCCCTTTGATACAGCAGTATACTACTTGGTTGATTCCTTTACCTCAGTCCCGTGGGAATCAGTAAGCATCTCCTGTATTTAAGATTGAAAGCATCATAGCTTTCAGAAGAAAACTACTGAAATATTCACAAGTCAACAGAGCCAATTTGAAACATCCAGGACTGCAGCTGCTGTGCCAAGGCTATCAGCACTACAGTCACAAGGAGAAAGGCGTGTTTGAGAGCGAGTACATAGTTACGATGCCTCGGATCTGGCTGTTTTTTTGCTACTGTTTTCATAAAGCCTCTTCAGTACATAGTATAAATGTTACTCCATATACTTCCTTTTTGGGGGGAATTTTTTAAATCTCACCCCCTTAATAAGCTAAATTTTTATCATCAAAGCAGGAGACTTGCTCATGCTCTAAGTTACATAAGACATAAAAGCACAACCCAGGAGAAGTTAAATTCAGCTTCAGAACTACATGAACTTGGACACTACTGAAATTAAGCTGGTAATTTCAGGCTCTGAACAAGGTAAAGAAAATGCACAGCTTAATGACTGCTATGCAGGGAAGACTTTTATATGGGAACATTAGGACTTGATATAAACAGCACCCAAAGTTCCACTCTTCAATAAAAAAAAAAACCATCACACACATTTTGTCATTGCCACTTACGGTGAAAGCCTTAGAATTTCTACAGTAAGTGGTGCATTTCTAACATATCCAATAGCACTTCATAATAAGTTTGCACTGCACAGTATTACATAAATCTTCACATCTCCTTGTCCACCAAAGCTTTATCAATACTACGCCTTCAGTTATTGCTTGTAGCCCTTTCAGAACAGGAACAAATAGGTATTTGTGATGGGTTGACCCTGGCTGGACGCCAGGTGCCCACCAAAGCCGTTCTATCACTCCCGCATCCTCAGCTGGACAGGGGAGAGAAAAAAATATAACAAAAAGCTTGCGGGTCGAGATAAGGACAGGAGAGATCATTCACTAATTACCATCACGGGCAAAACAGACTCAGCTTAGGGAAAATTAGCTCACTTTTTATTACAAATCAGCCAGAGTAAGGTAAATGAGAAATAAAACGAAATCTCAGAACACCTTCCCTCCACCCCTCCCTTCTTCCCGGGCACAACTTCACTCCCGGATTTCTCCACCAAGCCCCCCCAGCGGCACAAGGGGGACAGGGATGGGGTTTACGGTCATCACATGTTATTTTCTGCAGCTTCACCTCCTCAGGGCGAGGGCTCATCACACTCTTCCCCTGCTCCAACGTGGGGTCCCACCCACGGGAGACAGTCCTCCACGAACTTTCTCCAACGTGGGTCCTTCCCACGGGCTGCAGTTCTTCACGAACTGCTCCAGCATGGGTACTTTCCACGGGGTGCAGTCCTTGAGGCACAGACTGCTCCAGCGTGGGTCCCCCGCAGGGTCACAAGTCCTGCCAGAGAACCTGCTCCAGAGTGGGCTCCTCTCTCCACAGATCCGCAGGTCCTGCCAGGAACCTGCTCCAGCGCAGGGTTCCCACGGGGTCACAGCCTCCTTCGGGAACCCACCTGCTCCGGCGTGGGGTCCTCCACGGGCTGCAGGTGGATATCTGCTCCACCGTGGACCTCCCTGGACTGCAGGGGGACAGCCTGCCTCACCAGGGTCTTCACCACGGGCTGCAGGGGAATCTTCGCTCCGGCGCCTGGAGCATCTCCTCCCCCTCCTTCTGCACTGACCTTGGTGTCCGCAGGCTTGTTTCTCTTACATGTTCTCACTCCTCTCTCTGGTGGCTGTTTTCCACGTCCCAACTTTTTTTTTCCTTCTTAAAAATGTTATCACAGAGGCGTTACCACTATCACTGATTGGCTCGGCCTTGGCCGGCGGCGGGTCCATCTTAGAGCCGGCTGGGATGGGCTCGCTCTCTCTCGAACACAGGGGAAGCTTCCAGCAGCTTCTTACAGGAGTCACCCCTGTAACCCCCCCCCGCTACCAAAACCTTGCCACATAAAACCAATACATTATTACCAAACCACTGGCAGCCCAGAGGAGCATGCTCTGGCAGCAGAGGTGCTCCCTTCAGAAAGAGGGTCAGAGAAAGAGAGGAACAAGTCCTGGCTGAAAGGAATTTCTATAGAGCTGATCCCAGAAAAGCTACAGGCTCTACATGGGGCACAACAGGCAACTGGAAGAACTTCCAGATTCTGCTTCAGGACATAACCATAAATTTACTGCTTAACCTTAGACTAACCAACTTATTACTTGAGTGTTGATAGTCACCACCTGGAAGCTGGATAACAGTTCACAGTTATCGTACTTCACAAATATAGTGAGGCTTAACTGTCAACATTTGCAAAGCGCAGAAAGTTCAGATGAAAAGCTTCACTACCACTCAGTACGTACAGATGGAGAGAAGAGATAAGACGTTAACTCTATTTGCTGAAGTGGTGCAATATAATTCAATTCTACAACTGCAAACAAATCGAATGAGGAGTTACAGCTATGCACACGTGCATGCACACACTCTCCTTCAGCCCTGACGCTATCAGCTATTTGTGCAATACAAAGATGTGATCCTGAAAACCCCGCTGTGTTCATAGCCTTACAACTGAATTCCACCTTTGCAGTATGCACGAAAGTGGGCAGTGTGTCTTGTAAACATCTTAAAATACACACAGTGGGAAAAAGACTAAGATTCTGCTTATTTCTCCCTTCTATTGCAATAAAGGCAGCATATAGAAGGTGGGATAAACAAAAGTATCTGTATATGTGCACAGAGAAAACACAAGACAACTTTACACTTAATACATTCTTCATATTTTTTTTCTTTTTGTTATGTATCACCTGTTGTTCCAGGTGTTGTGTCACCAGATGGCACGACCACAGTTCTCGCAACGAAGTGCTGTGCTGCCATCAATGACATTTAGCAGAAGTGCTAAGGTCCCCTTCAGAATAAACCTGTAACATTAGACAAAAAATAGCCCTAGAAGCTCAGTCACACTGCAAGGCAGTCACAGCTGATGAATCACAATGACTGGAGAGTGCTGAGCAGGAGCAGGTAGCTAGTATTCCCCGTGCACCTCTCATGACCTCTTCACCTACCGTACAGGGATTCTAGCCAGGCTCACGTAGCAGATATAGCTGCTGTGCTTAAAGCAAAGGGCACCTGGCATCCTCCCACCTCGAACCGCATAACCTATGAGACAGGCAGCTATTTCCTTGTAGTCAGGGTTCACTGGCTGACAAACATACGTGACATATTCCTGCAGAATTACAGAACAGTGAAATGACTAGACGAAGAAGATTCATCTTCTACTTTAATGGCACTTCAATCTGAGGAGACACAGATCTATAAATGGTTTACCACTGTGGGAAATTAGTTGAGAATCCAGCCTCAGGTGTTGCATTCTCCGTATCTTCCTGGAATAAACTTTTAAGGGATAGGAAGGAGAAAAAAAAAGGCAAGAAATATTAAAGTATTGAGAACAATTAAAAAAAAAGCTTTTGGGTCAATTTTCCCTGCTTACTTTCTTATTTGAGAATGTTTCACGAAAATGATGATTTTTTCATTAGGAGAGGAGAGAGCACTGACTCTTAGGTTTCCCCCAGCTGTTCATTATTACTTGAGAGCAAATGCAGTGGGCCTGTGTAGCTTCAAAATGCCTACAGTTCTTGTTTCATACATAAAAGAAATATTTTGAGATTACTCTATAGTTACCCAAAGCATTGATTATATATAGACAGCACATAAAAGTATACTAACTTTGTGTAAATCAAGATTTTATGGTTTATTGCATTTGTTTACAATTTTTGTGGGGGATTTTTTGGTGTAGCTTGACCTGAAACCATTAGACATATCTACATAGTTTTTTTCAAGATTCTTTTATCACACAGTGATCAATTCTCTACATTCATTTTCTGTACTCTCTCAATTCCAGTTTTCCAGAGTTCATGAGTATTGACACTACTGAAAAAGTACAAGTTCAAACACACCTATACAAACAGACAAACTAGACGGAATATTGCAGATAAGGCTACTTTTTTTTTCTTTTTATATATATATAAATTTGTTTAAACCAGGCACAGAGAACTTTGGAACACACAATACTGAAAGCCACCTATGATAATCTTTGAAGGTTAGGTGTTTGCAAATTCCACAGTCAAGCATTCATCCCTATAGCTTTAACAATAAATACACAGATCTTTTATTTCCTCAGCACTTCAAGTGAATTGTACCTTAAACACAGTGGTTCTAAAACTGTACCATATTTACCAGAATAAGACTATAGCTAATTAAGTGCCACCACGTTCTATTCAACTGTGTGCTTTACTTCACAACAGAGCTGACTGCTCAAAGGCCGGTCTCACAACAGTGAAAAAACATGCACAACTGAACTGAGAGCAGGCAATGGCAGGGCACTTAGGTACAGCGTAGAGGTTCATCGTGGAACATGACAATAAGAAGTACTGGCTGTAACAATCAGAGAACCAGCACTTGCACACATAACTTAAGGAAAACTGCATTATCAAACTGTACTTTTACATGAAGTTCAAGCACAAACTTTTTCCAATATTCCCAATCTGCCAAAAAGCTCTGAAGAACATACCCCCCCCCCAACTTTAAAGATGCATAATTCTGCACATTCAATTCCACATTAAATCACAAAATAAGCACTCGCTTTTCAGCCACCTGTGAATTTAAGGAAAAAACCCTCGCAAATTAAGATTAGCAAATGCACTTCCAATCTACAGCTTCATGTAACATTACTAATAACATGTCTTGTTAAAGAAATTCTCTCAAAACATACAGACAATATATACTGTGGGTAAATGACACAGTGAACACAGTATTTCCATTCTTTCTAACAAATACCTAGTGATTATGTGCAGGCTTTTAATGCTGATGTTAAAAGTTACACGATTCCTGTTCTTCCAGTCCCGTTTTACTTGTATCAAGAATTAGAACTTCTGAAGTGCACATACAACATGGACTGTGAACAGTATGAATTAGTGCTTGTTCCACATAGGTGCTGCTATAGGTCCCTGTGGAGCCCTTTCAACAGTCACAAATTCATCAGGGTTGTCAAAAGCTTCATAGTGGATTAATAAATCTTGAATAGCACACTCCTCGATCTATAAGGAAAAAAGAACATGTATGTCAGTGTCAGATCTATGTTTACACCACTAGCACAGTTATGAACTGGCATGCATCTTGAATGCATGTCTGCTACAGACCTCCTAATCAGAAAGTACTAGTAGATGAGGCCTTCTTCAGACAACTTGAAGAAATCTCATGCTTGCAGGTCTTGCTCCTCATGGGGACCTTAAGCCACCCTGATATCTGCTCGAAAGACAACACAGCAGGGCACAAGCAGTCCAGGAGGTTTGCATTGGTGAAAACTTCCTAACACAGATGATCAAGGAGCTGATGAAGGGAGACACTCTACTGTATCTCATACTTACAAATAAAGAAGGACTGGTCAGGGATAAGAAGGCTGAGGTCAGCCTTGGCTGCAATGACCATGAGATGGAGCTCAGGATCCCGAGAGATGGGCACAAGACAAATAGCAGGATAACAACCTGGGACTTCAGAAGAGAAGACTACAATCTGTTCAGGGATCTGCTTGGAAAAAATTCATGGGATATGGCCCTGGAAAGAAGAGGGGTCCAGGACAGCTGGTTGATTTTAAGGATCACCTCCTCCAAGCTCAAGAATGATCCATGCCAATGAGCAGGAAGCCAAGCAAGAGTGGCAGGAGGCCTGCATGGACAAAAAAAGAGCTCCTCCGAAAACTCAAACAAAAAGGAAGCATGCAAGAGGTGGTAGAGGAGAAAGGTGACCTAGAAGGAAAACACAGACACTGTCTGAGCACACAGGAACAGAATTAGGAAAGTCAAAGCCTGCCTGGAGTTGGATCTGGCAAGGGACATGAAGGCCAACAAGAAAAGCTTCTACAGCAGGAAAAAGATGACATGGGCCCACTACTGAATGACAGAGGACATGGAGAAGGCTAGGGAACTAACAGACTTCCCTGTCTTGGTCTTTAGTAGTAAGATCAGCCTTCAGCAATCCCAGGCCCCTGAGATCAGAACTAGCCAAGATGATTGCAAGCCCACTCTCAAAGAAATCTGAAAGGTTGTGGTGATAAGGGTTGGTTCCCGAGGACTGGAAGGAAGCAAATGTCATTCCTACCTTCAAGAAATGCAAGGAAGATCTGGGTGACTACTTACCAGTCACCCTCATCTTGATCCCTAGGAAAGTGGTAGAGCTTAAGTACAGACTAAGAGCTTAAGCAGACAAGCTTAAGTACAGACAATGTAAATCGACAGTGAGATGGACTGAAAACTGAATAAACTAGTGATCTCAAAGGGTTGTGATAAGTGGCACAAAGTACAGCTAGAGGCCAGTCACTAGCACCAATACTGAGATGGAGACTAGGGCCAGTACTGTTTAACATCTTCATCAATTACCCGCATGATGGGACAGAGTGCACCCTCAGCAAGGTTGCAGACAATACAAAATTGGAAGGAGTGGCTGATACGCCAGATGGTGGCACTGCCACTCAGAGGGACCCAGACACGCTGGAGAAACGGGCTATGAGGAACATCATGAAGTTCAACAAAGGGAAATGCAGCATCCAGCTCCTGGGAAGAATAACCACAAGCACCAGTACATACTGGGGGCCGACAGGCTGGAAAGCAGCTTAGCATAAACGGTTCTGGGGTCCTAGTGGACAAGTTGACTATTAGCCAGCAAGGTGCTCGTGTGGCAAAGAAGAGTGACAGCCTCCTGTGCTCTATGAGGGACAGCACTGTCAGCAGATTAAGACAGGTCATCCTTTTCTTCAGCACTGGTGAGATGCATTCAGAGTGCTGGGTCCACTTCTGGACTCCCCAGTGCAAGAGAGACATGGACATATTGGAGACAGTCCAGTGAAGGGACACAAAAACGATTAAGAACTTGGAGCACCTGACACACTAGGAGATGCTGAGCACACTAGTTTAGCGTGGAGAAGAGAAGGCTTAGGGAGATCTTATCAAAGTGTATAAATATCTGATGGGAGAGCATAAAGATGACTGAGCCATGCTCTTCTCAGTGGTGCCCAGTGGCAGGAGAAGAGGTAATGGGCACAGACTGAAGTAACAGAAAACTGCATTTAAATATAAAAATCTTTTTTACTATGAGAGCGGTTAGACACTGGAACAGGTTTCCCAGAGAGGCCATGGAGTGTCCATCCTTGCAGATATTCAAAAGCTGCCTGGACACAGCTTTGACCAACCTGCTCTAACTGACCCTGCTCTCAGCAGGGGTTTGGATTAGACAATTTCCAGAGGTTCCTTCCAACCATTCTCTGATGCTGTGAACGCATTAATCATGGACTCAGTAGTCAATTTGACTTTAATATAGGCCTACCTTATCAAACAGCAATGTGAAGTTATTATTAAATGATATTTAATATAATTATGTAAATGATACTGTGTACCAATATATAATTAAACCTAAAAACTGATCTCTGAAACAGCCATTAGAAATTCCTTGTGTTACTTCACAGCTGCAGTAACTTAGCATTTTACCTGGATCAAAGCCAAAGGTTTTTCTCTGCTCCTAATAAGAGCAGCTTCTTGCTGGAGCTCTTCCTCTACAATAGCTGAAAACATGACAGGTGCTATCACTGGAGAGCTAGTTGGTGATCCTACTGACCAAGGACTGCAAAAAAACCAAATGACATTATGAGGCAACGTCAAGAACAAGGTCACCACAACACACAGAAAACAAGCTCCAGAATCTAAGCCACTGTCAAACCTACTTATGACTCTCCAGCTGTGAGGAATCCAGAACATGGTCTTCCAGACCTGGGCTGCTTCTAGTGGTGCACCTGGAAAAAGATAGGAAAGGAGAGTGAAAGTCACTGACAGAGCATTCTCCTACATCATGCTGTGAAGTACAAATTTACAGCAGGCAATTACAAATGTGTAGGGTTTTTCCAGATGAAAGGTATTAGGATGTAATGCTGAATTTGTCTTTAAGCATGATACTGTGACTAGAGACACTGATGCTCATTTCTGACTACTAGAAGTTAATGGATTTTCAGCTTTGGCATTAATTCTGGCATTTCCTAACATTTGAGCCTTTGAACAAAGGTGCTTTTTTTAAAAAAAACCAAGGGTTTTTTTACATGTAAAATAGTCAACTGAGTTATGCACTAACAGCATTGACTATAAATGTTTGCAATTAATATGAAAAGACTATGGCTCCAAGATAAAAAAAAAAAACCACAGCTGTCCTGTATTCAAATCAAGCATTTCATGTAAAAGAACCAGCGCTACAATAGCAATAGTAAATTATTTCCTCAAGTGTAAGCCCAGAAATTATGGGCTTTCAGTACATATCCCTGCAACCACCTCCCATATTAATAATAGCATAAAACTAGAACTAATCGAATTGAAAAAAAAAAAAAAATCCTGAAATATCAATAGATTTCCCAACAGGAAGATATTTTATTCAGCTGCAAAATGTTAACCTCTCAACAAAAAAGAAGTCACATTTTGTATATTGTATGCCTTAAGAGACAAGTATATTTGTCAGAAAAATCCTCCATCAGTAGGAAGAGACGGACCTATTCTTGTCATTTAATACCTATCTTTGGCAACTTTTGCAATTTCCAGAACTCTAAAAAAGTGTTACAGCATACATTGTAAAAAAACTGTTAAGGGTGTTGGTATTTCAATAAATCAGTCTCAATTTTCCTTAAGGCTTTGGTAATCCTCTGTAAGTGGCCACAAACTCTTGGAAAAGAGGAAAAATCTATAGAAAGCTAAGAGTATTCCAGTAACTGCCTGGAATATTTTCCCCAGAACACAATTCCAAGAACAACAAGAACCATGATTCCTACCACTAAGTAATGAGGGCAAGATCTCAAAAAATCTGAAGTGCAACATCCATCATCAAAAATGGCATTTAAATGAACCATGCGCAGCGTTTTGTCCCAAAACATAATTTTGCCCACCAAACAGCCAACTACTCAAAGAACAGAATGAACACAAATTTAACTGCTCAAGGAAAAATATATACATATCTGCAGCAACAACTGTCAAGGCATAACACTGGACTTCAAAAGAGGCTTTCTACAGTGTCACTCCCTTGAATCAAACCCAGCAGATATGCCTTCTGCCAGGTCATATTGTTTCTGTGTTTCCACTGGGAAAGCACAATTCATGTTAGTCAAGACAATCCTTCCCCTCCATTTTCAGTAATGGTGATCGTGTCAGTCATTAACAGGACAGCCAGTGGTAGACTGTATGGAGAGGAACCCAAACAGGTGTGGTACTCTCCAAACTGGACGTTTCTGGATAACTGCTATTCCAGAGCTTTGAAAGACCTGACACAAGAAACAACAGCTCCATGGCAAGAGTGGTCAAATCTGCTGTACCATTCTCCAGATTGAGCATCTATACAGCTGCAGTTCCTTTATTTTGACCTCATTAATATGCAATGCTTTTTCCATAGGTGTTGAAGAACAGTTAGAAATGGAAAAAGAGTAGAAAATTGGTATCTTGTAAAATTTTCTCTCTTTTGTCTTTGGTAAAAGAAAACCAATGGCAGGTTAGAGAATCCTATTTTATTTAAGAAAGGTATTGGGTCATGCCAGATAAGTGTGATAAACAAATATGGGAATTCTGTAAGACATTGAGTCAAGAGCCACATAACCTTTTTTTTTTTTTTTAAACAAGTTTCTCATATCTCTCCTTCCTAGCTAATTCCTTACTCACTTTACAGCTGGCTTAATCATTATTTTAGAGAATAAGTTAACTAAAAGAAATATAACTAAGTTAACATTGGTGGACACAATAAGCAGCAAAGCTCAGACCAGTAGACAATATTAAGAGATGCTATTAATTTAGCAAAGGATAAAAATGAACAGTATGACTCTCAGCAAGGCAACAGGTGGATGGGGAGAGGGTGGGGAGGGTGTAGCAGTCCACTTTCTGGATGCCAGGCTGCCATTCAGAAGGCCCTCAAGAGGCTAGAGAAATAGGCAACCAAGAACTCATGAATTTCAAAGGTAAGTGCAAAGTCCTGCATTTGGAAGAGAATAGCCCCATGCAGCAGTACAGGCCACAGGCTGACTGGCTAGAAAGCAGCTCCGCAGAGAAGGACCTTGTGTAGTCCTGGCTGGCAGCAAGTCAAAGATGAATCGGCATGTGCCCTTGCAGCAAAGGCGGCCAGCTGCTTACTGGGCTGTACTAACAAGAGTGTCACCAGGCAGTTAAAGGAAGTGATATTTCCCCTCTATGCTGTATTTGTTAGTCTACGTACAGAGTATCATACCCAGTTATGGGCTCCTCAATACAAGGAGGATGCTGTCAGGCTGGAACAAGTCCAGTGGAGGGCCACCAATATTAGAGGCTAGAGCACACGACAGGAAGAACTGTGTTTTGTTAATCCTAAAGGAAGGCGGCAAAGGGGAGATCTCATTGCTGTCTTCAACTACCCAACTGGAGGGTAGAGGAAAGATGCAGCAAGGATCTTCTTAGATGTGCACAGTGATAGAATAAGAGGTAACATACAAAAGCTGCAAAATAGGAAATCCCAGTTAGATATAAGGAGAAAAATAAAATCCCACTATGGGGATGATCATACACTGGAACACTTCGCCCAGAAAGGTGGGGGTATCTTTATACTTGGAAGCAGTCACAATTCAACTGAACCAGGCCCTGAGCCACATAATCTAGTTTGACTTATTTTGACCAGGAGGCTGAAGTGGAGACTCTAAATTATTCTATGATTTCAACAGCAGGGGACTACTTTTTAGCTGAAGTCCAGATAAATCAGTATCGTGGTTTAACCCCAGCTAGCAACTAAGCACCACACAGTCGCTTGCTCACTCCCCAACAGTGGTATGGAAGAGAGAATCAGAAGGGTAAAAATGATAAAACTCATGGGTTGAGATAGATAAAGACAGTTTAATAGGTAAAGCAGAAGCTGCGCACACAAGCAAAGCAAACCAAGGAATCCATTCCCCACTTCCCACGGGCAGGCAGGTGTTCAGCCATCTCCAGGACAGCAGGGCTCCATCACGCCGAACGGGGACTTGGGAAGACAAACGCCATCACTCCCAACGTCCCCCCTTCCGTCTTCTTCCCCAGCTTTATACGCCAAGCATGACGTCCTATGGTCTGGAATATCCCTCGGTCAGTTGGGGTCAGCTGTCCCGGCTGTGTCCCCTCCAACTCCTTGTGCCCCCCCAGCCTCCTCGCTGGTGGGGTGGGGTGAGGAGCAGAACAGCCCTTGGCTCTGGGTAAGCACTGCTCAGCAGGGACCAAAACAGCCCTGGGTTATCAACACTGTTTCCAGCACAAATCCAAACCACAGCCCCATGCTAGCTGCTATGAAGAAAGTTAACTCTATCCCAGCTCAAACCAGCACAATCAGCTTCCAGCTTTTACTGTACTTAAGAAAGATAATAACATAATAAAAAGCAAGAAAACCAGAGAAAAGGAAGGAAGGAGAAGAGAAGATGAAGGAATTTTTTTGTTTGCTGGTTTGTTTAATTAAGAGCATGTTTGTACAACTTACTAAATGCCTTTATTCTGGTGTCATCTCTCAAATTTATCTCTTTTTCCACTTGCTTTAATAATGCTCACCTTCCTGTATATTTGACAGTAACGAACACCTATCCAGCCCATTTGACAGCTACACTCTTCTTCCCACTCACAATCCAAAGAACTCACAGTACTGTTATAAATGAATCCAAGTAGACTGTTATATTTAACAAACCTGTTTCAGTACAGATAAAAGTTCTTTCCAGAGTAAGACTTCTAAACAAACAAACCAACCAACCAAAAAACCCAAACAACGAGCAAAAAAACCACAACAGAAACTTCCAAAAACTGGAATTAATAGTTCCAGTGTCACAGCACACTCTAGTGATCAATTAAAAGATAAGTCTAAATACCTGTGGTCACCTCCCTCAATTTAAATGTGGCTTTAAAATGTAGGAAGCAGTTCAGATACTTTGAAGCTGTTTGTACATATGTACATCTGTGTTTCTCAATAGCAAGACACTCAGTCCAGATATTAAATCAACTGCAGATATTTCAACATGCTAGATTAATTCCTCAGCTGGCATCAAAATAACTAGGAGAAATGAAACAGACGGGAAACGGGAAGCTAGCATATACAGAAAAATGGGAAAAAAGCCTTAAAAATATAGAACTTGGAAACCTGGAAGTCTTGAAAATTAAAGACTGATGCAGAGACATAAGTGGTTCTGTATGGAAACAAACCAGCCAAGTATCACCAGTACTGAACCAACCTGATTAATTCAGTTGGCTGAACTTGCCATGACTCCTGCACAGCCACCAAGATGTCCCAGCACTCAGCTCCCTAGTGTTTCTTGAGGATTTGTTCATTTGAAGCCAGTTCAGGTCCGGTGCCTCCCTGATCTAATGACTGCTCTCAGAAAAGGAACACAAAGCCTGGTGTCCTGCAGAACCTCTTGGGTTTTGCTGTACCATGTGAATCATGTACTACTTATTAGCTCATTATTAGCCATGCCAGAACTAGGCCATTCCCACGCGAACCCACAAAGACTTGTTTCCACTAAGACTCCTTGCTGCTCCCTGGAGTAACACAGTGAAGACAACCCAGGCTGCCACAACAAAGTTAAGTCATGTCAGGCCTATGTTTTTAGCTTGGACTATGAGCTACACATGCACAGCTGCACAGCATAACTCCCAAGGCTGAGCTGTCCCTGGAAACAATGCAGCCCCATCCACACAGCCCAGCTTTTGGGCTGATCAGCCTCTGGACTGAATCTAGTTCACATCTCCACATTCATGAGGTGGTTAATCTACAGAAAATTTCTGGGTTGCATAAATTAGAAGGTGACAGTATATGGAAGACTGTTTATGCAACCACCAAAAAACCCTCATGCAGACACTTAAGAAAATTGTCAGTTTAATTACTGCACAGTTTATCCAAAGAAAAAAGACAATGCAGGAACAGTAGCCATGCAAGTATCATCAGTGTCCCATCAGTGAGTCTGACATCAGCTGACGAGGATTACTTAAGTTCTACGCATATGCAATTTCCTTTCCTTAAAAAGGAAGGGGTAAGGGTGTGGATAATTAATCTTCACAGAAATAGCCCTTGAATGCCGCAGGCAAAAATCAGAGCCTACTGTGACAGGAACTGTACAGTCAAAGGATAAAATTACCTCAAACTAGAAACTCAACTCCTAACTTTGAGATGGATGAACTAGTCACCTAGACTCTTTATATCTAATAGAGAGAAATAAGCATCTTCAGACACAGTTCAAAACAACCTGAAATAGCTCTGGAAGTGCCATCTTTTCCAACTGATTATCGTCAATGTAGTCATCTAGGCTCCCACTAGCTTAATGTATCATTTTGAGACAGCTAACGTATTAGGCCTGGATTCAGCTCAAATAATCCACTTTGAGAGCATGCAGACTGGCCAGACTGCACAGACTAGACAGAGCAATGCAAAAGGAAAAGAAATTACTTTATGAAGATCACAGAGCAGGTGTGACAAAGCTAATAACAGCATCCAGTGCAAATTCCCTTATCACCAGCCCTTGCTGTCTCCCATATGATGAAAAGCTTTATTATTTCACTAGCAACAAAATTAACAATACCTGTTTTTCTGCAGAGTTGTGCTTCATGTCCCTACATCTCCACTCAGCACAATAACTTCAGCTTTATCCCCTTGTTCCTGAAGAATGCCCACCCATCACACACACACTCTCCAAATCCCTCCTACCTCTCTCCTCTAACACCATCCCACACATGATGTTCCTGTATTTCTACCCTCATTTTGTTCTTTATCTACCAATAGGACACGTACTACTTTGGTCCTAGGGAAACACCAGCATCTACACAAGCTGAGCAACCAAAAGGGAGGTGCAGCAGGACTTTCTTTTCCTTATGGAGGGGACAGTTTTTGGAGGGGGATGGAACAGGCTGTGCGCCCTTGCCAGGGAGGCCACTGCCCGGCCGGCCCTGCTGTCACCCTCGGCTGCCCTGCTACCATGGGGCAGCTGGCCTGTGCTGCTTCCAGACGGTGGGTGGGAAAGTCTGTAAGGTTTTCAGGCTCTCTGTCTCGTAAACGTATTTGAAATTGATAGTATTCAAAGTTGCTGATGATAGGGGGAAGAGATGCAGGTGGGCAGGCAGCTGAATCATACAGACCTTCAGGAATAAGGCTGAGATTTCTTTCCTCAGCTTAGACAGGTATTTTAACCCAAAACAGAGGTTTTATTGCAGGTAGCAAGAGGATGTGTGGCTAAAACAATTTGACCAAAGAGCAATACTATCTAATAACTAGACATAAAATTCACGTGCACCTCAGAACAAGTTATTTTTGTCCTTGGAATTGTAGTCCCACAGTAATTAAAATACACAGACGTAACCAATGCATCAATATTTCAGTAAGCCCTCTTAAACCATGAAAAATTGCACCTGAACAATTAAGTCAGCTTATAAGAAAACTCAGATCAGGAAATGCCAGAACTGTGTTTGAATAAACTGATTTTATCCACTCAGTGGTTACACAGAAATACTCCTAAGCAAACTGTTTCATACATGTCACATCTGAATGCTAAAGAATATCTAATTTCTACAGAAGTTGGAGAATATAGGTTTATCACTTTTATACATACATATACGAATGTACACACACACACACATATATTTTGTTTGGAGCCTGAAGTGTTTGTGTCTATATATACACACACGTACACACATGCCCATATATACAGATGCAAACACTCTGAACCTCAAACAAAATATTAGCAGTGGCATTAAATTGCTTTAGTGTTTCAGCTGCCTATTCATAAGAGCATTTCATTCATAAAATCCTATTAACAGAACTATTAAAGAATGCTTACAGGATTTTTTTTTTTAAATGACAATTTTATCCTTTCTTATTTCAGCAGAATTTGAACAGGTTATTGTGGTTCTTGTATAATGGTTGATCAATTAGGAAAAGACTGCTCTCTTACCTTATGGTGTTTTGGACTGATGAATCCTCAGTTCCTTTATATCCAGCTCTTTTGATACCAGTACCAGGTGAATTACTTGCACTCATACATTTTTCTTCTTCCATTACAAGATCACGGAATGACTTTGGCAAAGCAGAATGTAATGAAGATGACCTTTAAAAAAAAAAAAAAGGGAAAAAAAACCCAACTCATTTTATACTTGCACTTTCCAAGACTCCATATTGTTCCATGATTCAGATAGCAAAGAGGGCCTTTTCAGTTATTAAAAAGAAAACTACAATATTACGTAGCTTTTGCATCTCATCATTACACCTCCTAGACCCCATTCACTAAAATAAGTCAAATAGGTAAAGATCAGAAAATAAATACCTAAATACAAGCCAGTAGTATGGAAATTTTATTAGAAGAAAAAATAAAACCCCCAACCTTATTTTCACAGACACCTTATCTTAGACGAGCTGTACCTTTTCTAACTATTATTCCTTGAAAAATATTCTCATAAATCACACAATGCTTTAGTACTTTAATTCTAATACTGTTAGTTTACCACCATGAAAGTCAAGTATAGCTGATCATCTTTCCCCAAGATATTGAATGAGTTGCTCATACCTGCTGGAGGCTCTATAAATCATTTAATCCACAGTAAAACTCATAAAACTGATATGCTTCGTTTTCTTTTAGTTGCCCAAGTATAATGTGCACTGTTACTGAACTAGAGTCTGCATATTATCTTTCAAAAATAAACAAGTATGAAAATCAAAAAAAAACAAGTATGAAAATATAGCAATTTAGCATCATAGCTATTCTGAACACTTTCTGATCCAAAAGCCTTTTTATTTAAAGAATTCAAGGCAGTCACATTAGTCTTTCCCCTATCCATCAAGACTTTGGAATTAATTCTTCATACATTCACTTACATTTAACTTTACTAAGCACAGTAGTCCCACTCATCGTCAAATATACAAAATACATATTGGAAGAACAGCTCTGCTCATTATCTACTCAAAGAAATAAGAGAACAATTATAAACACTACTGAAGTAAAACAAGCTTTCTACACAACACTAATTATTTGTGCAGCTACCATAAGAGAAGCATCTGAAACCAAAGACTTTCAGACTACATCTATGCTGTATACAACTTAAGATAACAAATGTGAGGGACTTAAAGCATTACAATATAGTATCTGAAATCTTACAACAAAAGCATCTGAAAGTTATATATGATGTCTGAATGCCATGCAAGACCACCTGAGCTTAAGTTTGGAAGGTTTTTTGTTGTTGGGTTTTTTTTTCTTTTTTTTTTTTTTTTTTTTTTTTAATACTGCATGAGCAGCGTAGAAGGCATAGAAAGCAGAATGGGAACCTCCAGGTGCAGGGCCTCAGAGTCATTTTGCACATCCTCTGTTTCTACTACCAGCTGGCAGACAAGAGTCTGGGCAAGTGTTTGACCAGAACTTCCCCAAACTTACTATACTAAGTAGGCAAATGGTTCCCTTGGGATCTGCTGTCACAGAAGCTTCTTTTAACAGTTTAAGTAGCCTACCCATTTTCATGAAAATTCTGTACTGCAATCAGATCCACTTGCAATACAGCACCAAAAAAAAAAAATCCCCCAAACCCCAAAATAACCTCCCCCAAAACCCCAAGCCTGCATCATTCTCAGCTTGTGAACCTATCCAAAACAATTACCAATATCTTAAAATGGTTTGGCTTAAACTGGTACAAATTTTCCTAACAGCAACAACTCTAAATTTCAGCTTGTCCTGCCTGAAACACTGTCATTTCTATCTAATTTGTAGCATTAGAAAAGACTAATTTATACATCTTTTTTTAAAAAAGTGGAATATGACTACATTCCTCTAATCTGTAACTGCAAAACATCAAAGCATGAAGTTCCAAAACAGCTGTTAATGTTTCAGTATAAGCTGGAATACTGACAGACTGACAACCTAGACATTGAAATACACAACTGTTAATTTTCAAGAGAGACTTCAAATTCCTTTATGCCTCCACTCTTGAAAAGCCATAGGCTCTCCTGAGCTTAAAAAAAAAAAAAAAGCCAAAACAAATAACAAAAACCATCCCCCTCCCTCGATCAAACTAGGTTTGGACAACTAATAAAATTAACACCTAGCTTCTTGCATGACATACTCTCAAAGTATTACTAGTGTGATTCCCCTCCACCCCCCTTCTAATTTCCACTTTTCTTCAAAGGAGGAAATATAGGTTCATTCTCCCCAAAACTATGAAACTGGGGGTTTCTTTTGGTGGAAAAGGTAGGATGTTGTGTATGATAAGACTCTGTCTTTTAGTCAACCAAAAAAGGGCCAGAAGGTCCCACACCCTTCTGGCAACTGTGCTCATTGCACATCCAAGATGAATATCTTATTTCATTGGAACACACATTCTAAGGCTTTGACTATATTGCATGCGTGGAAAGCTCAATCTATTGCCAAATGTACTCTAACAGTCCACTGTGAATTTACGGAATATAACTTTGCAAATATAGTATTAGAACAGATGAGTAACACCATTCTACCTTACATACAAAAATACTTTGAACAACTAGCAGGGGCAATCAAATAATTGATGGCTTGCCTAAAGCAGCTTAAAGTTTATTCAACAAATGCTCTCTTCCAACAGCTAGGCATACTTTTAAATATTCATATACCCCCACTGGTTCTTTGCTTGAACTCTTGAGCTACCGGCATTTTCCAGATCAGCAGCCAGAGGAACACTGCAGAGGAACGTACAGAATCATGCATGGTGACCACATGAGCATTAGATTGGATTCCATCCTCCTGAAGTATATCCTGGCCTTTTCGCTTAAGATGGTTTGTGTAACACAGTAGAGCCCAGCTACTTTCAAAAACTGTTTAATCAGAACCTTAAGAGCACAATGTATTTTCTGGAGACAGTTAGCTAAGCATATTCAAAAAATCAGTCCATACTTGCTTTTTAAATGCAAGGAACAGGTCGTAGGCAGTTGCTAGTTTAAAATTAAACAGCACCCAATAGGTAAAGAGTTATCTATCAGAGAATAGGTGAATAGCATGAATTGTCAAACTATTCAGATGTCAGATCAAGGAAGTTATGCCCCATATTTTTATATGCCTTTTATCAGAGCTTCTCTTAATACCTTACTTCCTGTATTAACAAGTCAGTCATTCAACTAGAGGCATCTAGCTTGTGTGCTTCAGTCAGCCAGTACAAGTACTTCTAAAAAGTCATTTATCTTAGAGTAAAGAATAGGACTTCAGGAACTAACAAAAACCTCTTCTGAAGAAGCCCAGATAATTAAGTAAGCTATGCAATGTCCTTTAAAACCTACTTCAGGCTTTGTTGTATCTAAAAGTTGTGTATGAAGGGGAGAATGGAAAGCCCAGGCTGGACAAAGATAGATGCCCTATACAAATATCCTCCTGCGAAGGAGTTCTCATAGCCCCTTCCCTTGACACCCAAAGTCTGTCAGAGAAAAATATATAAAACTGCAGCTTGAAAATGGCTAGTAAAACAAAAAAGGAAATTAACTGACGATATTTAAGATAACTGGTTGAAAATACCCATGAAATGCCTACACCAGTAATCATTAGCATCAGCCCAAGCCACGGCATGGCACGTATGGGGAAGTTCCTCTGAAGACTCCAGAGAAGACCTCCCTGTGACCACTGCTCACAGAAAGGCCCCTGACTTTGCTGGGTGCCTGAGGAAAAGGACTGACTCACACAGGCCCCGGTCCACCTCATTAGCAGCACCCCTGGCCAGCTGCTGCTGCTCACCTGCATCAGCACAGACACCCCTCTGAGTCACCCATCGGGTAATGCACAAGAGCATGGCTTCTCTGGTGCTCACACCGAGTCACTGATGGGTAAAAAGGTGGTGGGTTTGTAACAACGTGTACATTAGTATGTGAATGAGCCTGTGTGATTTGTTTATGTAAGACTGTGTACATCGTCATTGTAGATGTTAGGTTACATATTGTTTATGCATAATTATAACATTCGTAGTAAGATTAAAAACAGTAGATGGATTTTTTTTTTTATTATTTAACATAATAAAGGATAGTATAACTCAGTATTTCCTGTATCGGTCACCATCTAATTTCACCTTCGGTTTCTTCCAGTACATTTTAAGCCTCAGAGCTGTAATTGCCCTGTGACACCTCCATTAGCTAAGCCAAATAACAAACTTGCTGCCTGACCTGCAGTATCAGCTGTATAAAGCAGGTAGCGTGTTCTTTGGAGCATTTGAGAGGATCAGAGTTAAGGATTCTGAAATTCATCCACTCATTAGAATTCAGAAGACAAATCTTGCAAACCTTGTTTCTCCTTTTGTGAAGGTCCCAATTACAGTTTGGAGGTCAGGTAGAGTCTGAATCCTTAGGTGCAAAGCAACTCATTCTATTTCCTCTTTAAGGCAAAATTGTGGGCTTTGTTCAGTGTTGTATCAGAATAGCTTTTGGGGGCTGGAGGAGTAAAGGAGACCCCACATTTTGGTATCAGGCGTACGTGGTTGAAAACAAATTGAGGAAACAGATATTTAAGTCCTGCTTGTATAAATCAAAACAAAAGAATTCAACCTTTTCTTAGATTCACTTGAAATATTGTGTGCTGGATATTTTTAAAACCAGGTGATCTTAGGCAGTTCATTTTTGTAAATAACTACTGTAGTAACATACCTCTATAGCTTGTAAGCTGGACACTAGAAATACATGGCATGTAACTTTTTTTTAGTTGTAATCAACCCAATCAGCAGACACCTACAGAGAAGATTTCTTGTCCCTACTTTCACTAACCCTTGGAGTAATCCCAGCCATCACCGTCAGAATCATTACTTGAAGAACACATCATGCCACACTACCTTGAATTCACCAAGCAACTGCCCATTTCAGATCAGACTGACATGATCCTTGACAGGCCCTGTAAAATACTAAAGTCCTTTAACCATAAAGCTGAATGTACTGCATAGTGTCCACTAGAGAAGCAAAGCTTGTTCTGGTGTCATGACTGGCAATAGAATACCATTTTAGGATCAATTATTATCTGATTTAAAATAGATGATTTGGGGATGATTACAACGTACTCTCACAGTTTTTCCCATAAGTTACCGATAAATATTTTGAACACCAGCTCTATTTTACCATTGTTACATTCTGGGATATTACCATTATTACTATAAACTAAAATAATAGCATACCAACAGACCTATCTCAAAAAAATCTAAAGGCACTTCAAACTCAAGGTGCTGATCATAATAGCATCCATCCAAAAAAGAAAGATGAAATCACAGATACATGAAATGGAGCAGAGAAGCAAGCAGTTCTAGATTATTACCCTAAATCTTTTGACACAGAACGCCTCTCAGGAAGCAACTGCTGCCAGAAAGCAGCCCACCTTTTCCTCAGCCAGCTAGTGATGTGATTTTTTTTCCTCTCTATACACTCATTAAATAGCTAACAGGCTACATGTCTTGTTTTGAACTTACAGGAGCATAGCAGAAAGGCAAAAATTCCAGCAGATGCTTACTGCTCTTATTTCTGAAAGGAGCAACCAATTGATATAAAGGATCAAAGGAAAGAGAGCCAAAAGACACAAGAGGGATACAGCTCTAATTGTGGAAAATCAACCTATCCTTTGAAAGACAGACTCCTGTTTTACTTTGAAACCTACCCAACACAAAAGGAAAACTGCTACAATAGCATCTAAACCAGCTAAATTGTCTAAAAAAGACTTCATTTAAAATAGAGTAACTGTGGTGGGTATGCAGCAAGCTTTGCTCCCACTGAAACACAAACAGGTAAGCTCTAGACAGAGGAGATGGACTTACAGTTCTTCTAGGGTACCCGTACAGAAACAAGCTGCAATAAAAGGCTAGACCTTCTTGAACAGGGAAAGGGGGAGGACTGCCCAACATTTACCTCAAGTGAAGAGCATGCACATAGGTATCTATTCTGTAGTAAACAAACACATTAAATTTACATAGCTTGCAACTTCTACAGTTATGCCTTTATGCTTTCATCCAATACCAACTGTAAATGTGAAGAGCAAAGCATGAATCGGGCTAGCACCTCATTACATTCATAGTTGTAAACCTAGTTCATTGACCAGATGATAAACCATTTTTCTATTCAATACGGTGATATTAACTGGAACACTTAAATTGCGTGTAATCAGCATTAAAAGTCATTTTAAACCCATTATGCATCCTTCCACCATAAGAATTCTTAGCAGCATCCATCACTCCCTCCAGCTCCTAGACATGTACATAACTTTGTTATCTATAATTTTGGTCAATTGTGCTCTACTCCAAAGTCATTCCCCTCCCTGTTAGGAAGGGCTAACATTTTTCTTTATGTTTTTGACAGAGAAAAAACAGCATTAATAATGATTTTCAATAACCTCTTCCTGACTAAGTTTCAGAGCTTGTGCTCAGTCTTCTTTTTCTATGCTTCACTTTGATACCATCTGCAAATACCACATCACACACAGGCAAGAACCAGATTGGATGCAGTCTTCTGACACACTATAGCAAAATTTCAAAGAACTAGTAGACTGCAACCACTGCATTTCCCTGCTCCCTTTGAATTTCTAGATTACTATCAAATGTAGATACAAATAGTTCGATGCTAGTCTTTTTAATGAACAGAAGTAGGCCATTTTTATTTAAGAAACTGCTTCTAAGAGACTATCCAATGTAAAAACCCCCCAAAGAAAAAGAAGTGATATTTCATTTGTAACATACCATGCATTCCCTAGTTTTGCAACTTTTGTAGGTGGAGGCGGTGTGGTTATTAGTGTAGCAGGCTCCGTGCTGCTAGTTACTGATCCATTATCTTTTGCTGCCAGGGCAATCATTTTTCTTTGCTTCTGTGAAAGCTTGATTCCATGAGACACCATTCTGCTGTGAAGTGATATTGCAGAGAGAAAATGCAAGATCAGTGTCCTTTGAGATGACTCGCCTTTAATCTTGCAAATTAAACTAAGAAATACTTCTTTCCTCGATCAAAATACTTTGTCTAGAGTGCCAAAAGCGGAGTATAGGTGGGGGGGGAGTGGTCAGATGGCTAGGGAGCAAAAGGAGGATCAATGAATATCAAGAGTGACAGAAAGAAAAGCATCATAAAACTATTCTTTCCATAGATGTCTACAAACGAAAACATGCAGAGTAGGAATCAAGCCTCTAAAAGAGATGGACTACCACCAGATGAAGACTATTTTCTAATTTTGTGACTTTTTAGAGACTGTTAGAAGCTTAGCTCCCTTAAATCAAAAATATTGATGCATAAAAAAACATGTACAACAGCATACAGCCATTTTTTCTATTTGTAATAACTTGTTTTCCAAGTTATTCGGATTCCTCAGCTTTGGCTGTTTTGTTCACAGCTTCTGAACCTAGCTAGCCAGCAACCTTTTACTAGGCTCCAGGACTACTGTCCTAGCTCTCTTTTACAAGAATGCCACACTTCAAAGGTCATGAAAGTCATCTCCAGTTTTCTTCCCATACCTTGCCAGTTAAGAAACACTAATTTAATCCACTGCCTCCTGAAAAAGTACATTTATCTCCCTGTGTCTTTGGGATGCTTCTCCGAGCAAGAGCCACCCTTGCTTCTGTCTGAGGAAAAACTGTTAATATCAACACATGGGTGCTGGGGATGTTCAGAGAATGCAACACAAGAAACAAACTTCAGGATCAATTACAGTAGTGGTCCACAAGTAATTTCTGAAGTGCTAGGGACAAGAATTAATTCTTTTTGGTTGTAAATTGGAAAGCTCAGCAGAGCAGGCCACTGATTTAAGATACTCATTTACTAGCTCTTTAGCTCACATTTCAACAGCTAAGACATGCTTTTGCAGTAGTGGACCAAACAAGACTACAGTAAAATGAAGGGATAAATTTTGTACGCTGGCAGAAAAACACCATAATGAACTGAACTAAACAAAGCTGTTCGAAAACAAATAGGACAACTTCTCTCCTGCTTTTTTTAAACTTTGAACTGCCTGAACCACTAAGTAAATTCATAATAGCCTGGTCTATCACACTTTTCTTTTATAGATTTTGGTTTTTTACCAACCCTGAATTTGCCTTTGGCATGGTTCCACATTTCTGCATACTTTCTTCAATTTCCATGATGGTTCTTAGATCCATAGCAGGAGGGCTGGCAGGGCTAAATGAAAAATAAAAAGTTACCTTACAAGGCACTCATTTTTACTTACATTCCACAGCTCCAGCCTTCACTGAAATCCTCTAAATCATACATAAGGTTGGTAACCGGATGTATAATTTATGTCTGTTTCCTCAATTATGGCAAACCTCAAATAGAATGTTTCTGACAAAACTTTTATAAATATATACATATTTAAGAGCACACTATAAAAATACTTTTCAAGACTCATTATACTATGAAACAAAAAGATGTGAACTATGATTACTTTAAAAAAATTAGATACCTAAATCCAGGATACTTATTTAGTAGTCAACTGCTCATGGTAAGTGTTAGAGAGGCATTGCTCACAGCTCTTTCATGAAGGTTGAATTAGATCTTCCTTTGAAGAACAGGATTAAAATTATTTCACATGGCAAACAGAACACTCTTTGCAAAGTTAGAGCTCTATACAAATACCAGTAACATTCTCAAACTTTAGGAATCAGTTTTGTTTTCATAAGTGACCTAATTTTAAACTTCCACAGAAATGAACATGAATTAAATCCAGACATTTCCAGGCTTTACATAAAAACTATAAATTAAAACCTGTGTACTTACAAGGCATTTGCAAACTAAGCTGTGTTACAACTACATTCAAGGACAGGTTTTGAAATAAAATATAAGCAGCACTCCCTCTGTCTCTCCCCACATAAACCCAACTACCAATAGACAAACTAGTGAATTAACCACTGGGAGGTCACATCAAACCCTGTCGTCACTTCTCCTCCACAGTAGTTCAACCAAATACACTACAGTATCAATCCTTTAAACATTCTACATAACAGTGCTGCCTGCTTTTTCCTGACATAGCAGCAATACTAGAAAAAGTAAAGAAAGAATACAAGGGAAACTCATAAAGGCACAGTGACATAATGACAAAGTCCTATGGTTTTATTTGTTCCCCTTCCATGCAATCCTCTAAAAAATATTCAAAAAGAACTCCAAGATAACAGATGAAGGTGAAGCTTCTTCCAACTAGTCTATAGACCAAAGAGTTGGTTGTGGGATGTGTTACCCTCTCTGCATAGACTTGGCTTGCACAAATACATAGTGAGACAAAACACAGATTCCTAATGGACCTTGCTCACCAAACAATATACTTCAGAGCTGCAACTTTTAATTTCTATAGCTGTATCACCTGTATTAACAAAGCCCATCAGCCACAAACCAATAGAGCCTGGAAAGATTGTGGGAAATTATTGCTATATGATTCCCTAAATCCTTAAACTCTTCTCTATTCAACCTTTATTAACAACTCTCTCAGACAGGACACCAGGCAAGACAGAACTTCAGTCTATCACAGTACTGCTCCTTTTTCATATGCAGATATGGCTACAGATAAAAATTAACAATCATTTCTTTATTACTGTATAAGTTAAACCTGTGGTGTTGATTTGCACAGACCGTTTAAGTGTCCAGGCATGCCTTAAAAATGTCCAAGTACAATGGTGCTTCTAACAGCTTCAAGCATGGTCTGATTCCACTAAAAACTACCACGTATTCTGGTAGCACTTTAAAAAAAAAACCTAAAAAAATAAATCTACCTAGCAATTGCTTTTCTTAAAGAATAATTAAAAAATGTACCAGTTTTATTAAATAGCAAAATCTTTAATTCACATATCAGGTAATGTGTGATCATTTTGAAGAGCAGATAACTTTTTAGCCTGAATAGAATATTACTAGCATTCGCTACCAAGTGATTGTAAGTTAGGTAGGCACCACAACAATTAACTCCACCTGAAACTGGTTGCTACCCAATTGGGAGAGCTTGCAGAGTTGTTTTTGGCACTGGGAATGGACTGTGGAACAGACTGTGTCAATGCTGATGATCCCTTGTATGACTTCATCATCTCCTTGTTAGGTTGAGAGGGTTTCATACCCTGACTGCATGCTTTGTCCTTCATCTAAAAAAAAGACAGAAAAATGTAGAATAAATATTCTCACATTTTTTCCACTTAGAAGAAAAAGAGCGATGCTACAAGCAGCTTGAATGACACATGTAAGTGAAAAGATTTTAAAGGATACCTCAGAATAGCAATAATGTAGTGAATCCCTGATCAGTCTGCTGCTGTTTGTACCTTTTTTTTTTTTCCCTCCTCACTTCACACTTCACCCTGAATCATTTAAGTCCAAATATTCATCTTGATAGTGGAAAATTCACTCCAAGATGTTCACTTCTAAAGCTTTAACACTTAATAATATACGCATGATTCTCTCAAATTTATTTCTCTTTGCCAGTTATGGCTCAGTTATCCTGGACTGTACTTCTGTCCAACTACAATAGTTGAAGAACAGCAGGATTTTCCTAGAGTTTTTTTGGCTTCTGTTTTTGTTTTTTGGCTCTGAACTTCAGATTTGCTTTGCGTTTTAAATGAAGTAGATGGAGACCTTACATAATTACTCTTTGAATTTGAAATTTTCTGGACACTACAGCATACAAAAATTTTCATTATGGTACCACGTGAATAAATTACCCTTAGAAGATGTAATAAGCAATATTCATTTTTGTTTACTTTATCAGACAAATGTTGTCTACACCATTTTAAGGAAAACAGCTTCTCAGAAACACTCCAAAATACAAACTCTGATTTTGATGGGCTAGATAAACACAAACGAATAAATTGATAGGAACAAAGAAATCCAACCTCAGTCCTCTCTGGATGAAATCCTTTTGTGAAGTCAGGGGACTGCAAGTCTCTGGGGCTACCCACTCCTGCGTAACTACCTTCAGAGTCAGATGTTAAGAGTTCTGGAAGTGATTCTACAGAGTTAGTTTTATGCAGTTTTACTGAGCCTAAGAAATAAGAAAAGAGTAGAACTATTAAATCATGAGAGCTGGACTAAACGATGCTTAAAAAAACCATCACTCTATATGATGAATACAAAATAATCAGAAGTTTACCTAGTCCAGTATACTAGACTGTAGTAAGTATAAGCAAATTTAAGACTACCTTAAATACTTTTTCAAAATAAGATTACTCCCAGTTTTCTTTCTCTGTCTCACAATATACAGTTTTGTGAAGTAACACTGAGATTTTTGTATTGAAAATGAAGGCTTCTACCACCTTTTCAGTAAACAGTGACTAATTTATTTTTTCTATTCCAGAAAAAAAACAAAACCAAAACCACACCTTAGCAGAATGTTCCACTTATTAAAACCACATGGGAAAGTGTCCGTTAATTTTATTTGATAAAATACATGCTTTTACAGAATCTGAACTTTGGGCACAAGCTTAATATGACAAAGATCCCTTCAAACAAAACTTAATCTTAAGAATCCACTATTCAAATTCAGCTATGGTGTTCACTAGAAAAGAAATAATGTTTGCAAGGTATCCTTATTGAAGTATAGACATCTCATTGCATTGCATATTAAACTTTATGTTCTGTTTTGATACCTGAAAGGAACCTCTTTCCCACTGACCTGTAGAGGCTGGACTCTGAATAATATCTGATAGATTATATCCTCCAGAGCTGTCAGACCGTTTTCGTGGCTTCTTTTTTGCCTTAGTTTTTGCTCTTTTGAAAAGGGCTTCCCTATTAAAAACCAAAAAAAAACCCCACCAAAAAAACCAAGATGGATTAAAGCCAAAGAAATTGAACCTCAGAACTATCAGTGTCAATGTCAAGTTTTTCAGTCAGCAGCAGCAGCAGCTATACTTCAAGCAATAATACCTGGTCCCACCAGCTATCACTAGCTGCTTGTTCCTGCTCTGATTATGCACTGGCACAACTATTTAATAAAGAAGTGGGGGGGGGGGGGAACCAACAATCTAGGAGGAAGAGAAAAAATTCTTTCCAATCTAGATCTAGTCTCTGGTCTAGTACACTGCACAAAGACTTCTGCTGAGACAGTGGAAGATACAGCAGCTGCATAGGCTGGCACTGCCACCTAGGTGAGATTAAACCTGCTACACATCACAGCAACTGACATAAAGCAAACTACACTCAAGTCTCCACATTCTTCTCTCTTGATTTCCCCTAAATTAGTGAAGTTCAATAAAGTCTACAGTTGGTCTCACTTTTCCTCAACACAAATACTGTCACCAAGATAATACTACTTCTACAATAAAGCAGGTATATGGTCATGTCACCAAAATGTCACATGTTCCTATATATGATATTAGGAAGAGTGGAATCAAATAAAAGGCATCTTTCATTTTAATAAAACTACTAGAAATTCAGAATTATTTCAAAAAGCCTCTTTGAGAAGCTTTTCGTGGAATAACTATATACGTACTTATTCATTCCTGCAACAATACTGTAACCTTACGATGCTTGAGGTTTTTTTTAATCCTTGGACTGCCCTATACCCTAAAGGCTATCGTCTAGCCTATAAAAACACTGAAAGGCTTGAAGTCTAATACCAAATAGCCTCTCAGTTCCCCTGATCTACATGTACTAGTTCATTTACCACAACTTTTCTTGACACAAGTGGTCAGAACGGTACACCATACCACATGAGGTCTAATCTGCACAGTGACATCTTATTTCATTATTTGGAAGCATGTTTACAAGTCATCCTATCAAATTAGCTTTTCATAGTTGTGATGTCAATTTCTCTAGTTTAAAAACTGTACCAAAGAAAGCAGTTTAATTTTATTATTTGCTCTTCAGAGAGAAGCAGCATATTAAGTTAGTCTGGTAAGACTTTACAGATTCTATTGCTCTCACTTCTATGTCTTCAGAACAAATATTCAAAGACAGAATAACAGAAGTCCACAAAACCACCAAGGCCAAACTACCTGATCCACAGTTGTTTGGATCACATTTTCTAACCTTTCACAGGTTTTGTTATTCTACAGCCACACAATAGCCACTTTAAACTGACAGATTAAAAACTCATGCTACAAAACTTCGTATTTTGCATGACAATTCTGTTAATATTAAGAAATTTAGATTATCACAATTTTTCCAGACAGATCTATAGTACCTTAAAGTCTGTTTTTTAATCTTTTGATTTCTTCTAATTCAGTGAAGTTCAATGAACTCCACAGTTGGTCTCATACATACACAAATACTCTCATCACATGCACAACTGCCAAACATTACTGTGAATGCTTGTTTTGCTACCTTTACTCACATGCTACTTACAAACTGAAAAAAGTGCTCCATTGCAGTTCTGTAACATTTTAAAATACTTAAGGGAACTAGTAACGATCTTTGAAATCTCCGTTTCTCCTATTTCTTAATATTTCCATTCTGCACCCAAAGAGAGTCAGGCACCATCCAAAGGAGGACAAATACCATATACAGCTCACCTAGTAGAAAATGCTGATGAAAAATAGATACTTACTGAGAATTTTGTTCTGTATTCATTTCTTCCCTTAAAAAGACAAAGTTCTCTCCGTCTTCAGGCTCAAAAGAACTTATGTCAGGTCCATCTGGATATGGTGTAATTACTCTTCTGACCATGGCTGGAATCTGCAGTTGTAAAAGACGTTACACTAAGTTTCTCTTAAGTTGTACGCTAGCAAATGTATGATCTCTTGTAAAAAGATCAAAACTGACTGTCATTTAAAACACTTTTACAGATCAATAATTAAGTTTATAAGTTGGTTAAATAGTTAAGTTACATCTTTAAGCAAAACAGAAGGAGAATTTCAGCTGCCTATAACTCCTGACAAAAAAATGCTTACAGGTTTTGCAAAAACTACTGTACAGTTAAAGAACACTGGATTATAATGTGCCTTGGTTTTCCCCTTTCCATTAAAGTTCAACTTTCACATTATTTTTCTTACTGCTTTTAAGATCTATATGATCACCCTGAACTTTACACTGGAGAAACCTGATTTACTTTCTTCTAAGTAACATACGCTCTTTTCCATAGGTTTTTCTCATGTTTTTTCATGCAACAATTGTTAATTACAGAACATTAATACGTTTAATATGTATAATTAATTAAAGGACACAATACTGTTGCAGCAGTGGATAGTGAATAATGAAATATGAGCTCCATGAGATTGGTAATAGCAGCAGCTAACCTTAGCTTTTGAGTCAGATGTTCCACATTCAGCCTGTGATCTACAGACCCTGCAGCTATGTATTTATTACTCCTCTGTTCTCATTTTAAACCTAATCAGCTTACACTCAAGTTGTACAACTTACCATTTTCCTGTAATAAACAGAAAGATCCTTTACAACTTCATCACTTAAGACATCCAGAGTCCTTAAAAAAAAAAAAACAAACAAAAAAACCACCAAATTTATCTTACCAGCTTAAAAAAACCCAAACAAACCCATCACATTAATGAAAAATTCAAATGAACATTTTAGATGAATCTCACATACAGGCATTACTGCCTATTCACGGTGGTCCCAGAGTCGGAAGAAAATGAACACAAAATATAAACTAGTCAATGCCCTTATAAGGCAGGATTAAACCCACCTTTCCAGACAGCCTACCTTTACTTAAGGCCACAGCCAATACAGACCTATATAGTTAAGTTACCATGAACTGGTCATTAGTTTACCTATTTCTAAATACTTTCAAGTCTTCCCGACATACATCTAACACTCCAAGTCTATGCAAATTCTTCTATAACACTCAGCCACAACATTCCTTGACATTGACATTTATGCCAAAAAATAACAGTACAGCAACGAACTTTACTCAACAGAACTATCTTGCCCATGTGAGCAGCTCTCCTTGCACAAAGCTGTCACAGATAAAAGTTCTATCTGTCTCAGGTGTCTCAGATTGAAAGTCTTGCTACCCAGTAATGACATTTTCAGATTTTCACTAAAATGCAGATAGTGTCTTAAGTGTAGTAAGAATGTTTCATGTCCTTTCCAGGCTTAAGACGAAACAAACCTGAATTCAGAATAATACTTAAGACAATGTTAGGAGATTTTTACTCTTCTCTCCAAAGTCAAAGGTTAAAATGTTTATACTTTATAAGGAAAGAGGAAAATTGCTAATATGAATGAATCCCTGTATCTGTGGTACAAGCAGAGCGGTTGTGTGACATAGCAATAATGTTCTGGCATTCTGAACTGGTTCAGACCTCTAAAAACTTCTGTAGGTAAAAGGAAGCATGATAAAAAGGCTAGGAGTGGACAGAGTGGACCAATAACAGAGATACAGGGGGTTTTGGTTGGTTGGGGTTTGGGTGTGGTTTTTTAAAGTCTTTGCTGGAAAAGAAGCTTAATCAGTGCTGATAAGGCTTGCTCTGAGAAGATGACCTGTACTCTGGAAGCAACTTGAAGCCCTGTCCAAAACCATCAAGAGAAGAAAGGCCAGAGAACATCTTCAACTTCTTAGAACACTAGCTGAATCATTGTGGAAAGCAAGGGTAATTAATTAATTTGTTCAGCCCTCACTGCAGACATGTAAAGCAAAGAGACTACCAGAAGGCAGGCCCATCCTCTTTAGAAAATGCACCAGCTATAATAAACCTACTTAAAATAAATTCAATTTGCATAGTAACTATGATGCTAAAAAAAAAAAAAAAAAAAAGAGAGAGAGAAAGAAAAAAAGAAACCAACAAAAAAACCCACAGCTGTTTTATGCATCTTCAAAAACAATTTAAAAAAAAAAAGAATGAACAAGATTAGGCCTAATGTCAAAGCCCACCGAAGCCAAGAGAGGTTTTTCCCCTTAATTCAGGCTCTTTGCGCTAGATTGTAACATAGAGTTTTGTACTATAGAACTGGTACAGTATGTACAGTTATTTAAGTAGTTTCTCCCTGTTTGTCAAAAACAAGTCTCCCTTTAAACTAGCAGCATTCAGTTGTATTTTAACATTTAACTGCTCATATTAGTTCTTCCAACCCTTTTGCCTTTTTGGGATGTTTGAATTCCTCCTTACCTTGCTTCAAGCAAAGCTGCCATGTTGAGTCCTATGAACTGCAAGCAGGACAGTTTTAACTGTTCAGCATTATACATTGCTGAGAACTCCAACAGCTCGGCAGCATTCTTTAAAGTAACTGCAAAGAAGAAACAGAACAAACCAAATTGGACAACGTGCTGCAATATCATGCAGCAGTTTTTAAGACTTATTGCACAGCATGATCTAGTTATTGAAACATATCATATACTTCTCCATTCCTGGAAAAAATGCTAACACTCAAATGGCCACAAACTAAAGCAAGCTCCACATAACTCTGTAGCAGCTTGAATGCAACAGCTGCTTCACAAAAATAGAAAGGCCCTACCTACAAACGTATCAGTTTCAATATATTGAAACTCAGCAGTCCAAATCAAAGGGGAAAAAGAAAAATAGCAAGTTTCATATACAGTAGAAACAGTTCTTAAAGCTCCAAATGTTCCTTTAGCAGGGAGAAAGATAAAAAAAAAAAAAGGTGGTGAAGGGGCAGTGGGCAGGGGAGAGAGAGAGAGAGAGAAAAATGGAAGTCACTATGAAATGCCAAGGAAAAATTGTATGCTAACTTCTTGTATCAAGCTAAGCAACAATACTTAGTGTTTTCTAGAAGAGGCAGATCTTCATAGCCATATAGAAATAGCACTTTGCCAAACAAACAGCAGAAGAACTAGTAGAACTAAATACAAGGACAGAAATAGAAACACAGAATTCATTTTATCATGTTTTAAACACAAGAAGTTTACATTCCATGAAATAAAGGTTTTATAAAAGTTTGGTTTCTTTGTTGTAGTGGGTTTGGATTTTTTTTTTTTTTGCTTTTTGCTTTATTTACTTTTTTTTCCCTTCTATTAAAGAGCATGAGAGGAAGACAATGATGCATAAGGAATGAAAGATCATGCTAATCTAGAACATCACCCAAACTAAAGAAGCAACTGTTAACAGCTATGCAATGAACAGCAAAAGGTAATCAGAGCAAAGGAATATAAGCAAATAATTCTGTGCTGAAATAGGCAAGAACATTAACATCTAAAAAAAGCATTTTTTTATTCTCTAACACTTTATAATACAAGCAGAACAACTCACGTTTTTCTGCAATGGCTACTTCACAGATTTCTTTGAGTCTGGATATAAGAAGTTGGTCTGCTACCACAAGAACATTACATATGAATTCCACATTTTGAGAATCTGGAAAACAAAGCATCATGTAAACACTGTGGGCAAGTCAAAAGCAACTATAACACATACAGATTCAATGAAAATTTACCAAAGGACAAATGTAATGTCTTTGCAAATTTTGATAGGATTTTCACAGCACAAGGAATAGCTTAGAAGAGCACAAACAGTCATTTTTTTGAAGCAAGAGAAGGAGGGAAAAGGAAAACTGCAGTTTGACAAACTAAAGAAAAGGTACAAAAAGACCTGAGCTATCACCTCAAAATCTAAAGCAACAGTTACAAAAAATTAGAATTTCTACATAGAACTTCAACACAAACATATTAAGTATTGAATTTCTATTTTAAAAATATAAAAATTGCAGGAGCTACAGTTGAGTTGAAAATATATTAATGGCACCTTTTATCGCAAGAGCTTCATCTGTATACAGGTAATCTACAATTATCTGTAGTATGTCAGAATGGATTGGCATTTCCAGAGCTGAACAACAAGAAGCCTAAAAGGCAAAAGGATTAAAAAAAAAAAAAAAAAAAAAAGAAAAAAACTGACTGCTTGGAATAAAATACAAAATTAAGACAGCAATTATATTTAGCAAATGACTTAGACTGAGGGTCACATTTTCAAAGTTAAACAATTATTTAAGCATTTGCACAAAATCTGTTCAAGTTCTTCAATTAAGAATTGACTGTAGCAGAGCAATTAAAATCTATCCAAACTTCTGAATACATATCCATGAAATAGTTCATTGTTTCATTAGTTTGACCATCTTCTCTAACAATCCTCCTTGATTATAATACTTTATCCACAATTGTCTAAAAGTAGAATGACAGGAATCCCCTATGCAAGTACTGAACTGCTTTCCTTTCAAGGTAAAAGATGGAGTGAAATCACAAGTTCTCATGCAAGAATAAAATGAAAGTAGCCATTACTGTTAATCCCTCAGAAAACAAGGTCCTCGGCAAATCCTCCACTTGAAGAACCATCTTAACCATTAAGGCAAAGCTTTTGTATGAGCAAACATTAGCCATTAAACCATGTAATTGTCACCATTCGTGTTCACGCAACATCACTGCTTAACAACTTTGGTTTATTTCAGGTGGTAGTGAAGCAAAGCTTTATACAAAAACATTTCTTTTGCTTTAGAACATGCTGCTGGTACTAACATATTTCCCGTCTAAAGTTTAATAACCTCTTACAGAGATTAAGACTTTTATACAACATCTAGAGCACTCGATTCACAAAATATTTACTTATGAATTTAGGATGGTTTAGATTTACCTAAGAAATAATAGATAACTTTCGAACTACATACAACTGATATAGAAATCAGCTACACAAATGGATGTTCAACACCAAATTAAAAAAAAAAAAAATATCTCACTTGTCTCTCAGTGTTTTGGATGTTTCCTCAGGGATGACTGAGGAAAAGGCAGCACAGTAACTTAGAGAACAGGTGAAGTTCTGTTACACAGCAGAAGAGAACTGCCAGTACTTTGTCAGGTTCTTAGATGTACATACTGCCAAAAAGCTATGAAAGTTGAGAGAACTCTTGCACACTGCTTCAGCTTTCAATCTCTGAAAAATGCTTCTCCATCTACACCTTTCCTCTCTTTCAACAAGCATTATCAATAGTATTCAGATACTTAAACAGAGTCATTTTGTGAAATTACTGTGTCCAGGAACAACCAGGGCATTGACATACAGCTAGCAAATAGGAACCAAGACAAATAAAAGATCTACACCTTTTGCAGCAGCAGCTGGTGAGTAAGTGGAATAGTGCTTGATATTCTCTATTTCATTAACAGTAAAAGTCAACTAGAGATTCTACACATATACTCTTGATTCTGCTGTATCTTTCACACAGTACATATGAAAAGCTATTCCATATTGAATACTATTTAAATCGTAATATCTTTTACAGAAAGAAAATGAAAATTCATCCAAAGCAGTATCCCATAAGAACAGTCCAGCAGCTTTTATAAATCCATGAACTAGCTCAAAATAAACCTTTAAAACAAAGGTAATATTTAATTTCATTTGATATACATTATGACATTTATTACTCATTTAATATACAATCTCAATAGTCCAAATATAGAGTAACCAAAATGTGATTTTTTTTTTTTTCTTGCAAACAGGATCCAAGCATCCAGCCTTTCCTTTTCCCCAGTATTTAGGAAATGTTATTCTAGGAAAAACTGAAAAGCTGTCACTTATTTGATGCAACAAAACATGCCACCACACATGTTTATTGGCAAGCTTACCTCAATCCATGAGCTGCTTAACATGCTGTGAAAATAATCTGTAAAGAAAGGCATTTCAGTTCAAGATGCAAGAAAATTTCAGTTAAAAAAGACAATATGATACATACTTTATATATATATAAAAATACACACACATACCAAGTCTTGCACAAAGTACACACTTATGACACGGGAATTCCTTTCCATCTAAAGATTTCAGGGTCACATCGCAGAGGTACGAACTAGAAGATATTTAATAGGATCAGAACTGTGACTATTCAGAAGAGCTACAAGTTGTAAACTCTACAAATTACATGCTTACTTTAGCAAGTTAGGATTTATCCTTTGAAATAAAACACACTTGAACTTTAATAATATCATATAAAATGAACCTAAAAGTACAGGCACAATAGTTTCAAGAGAGACATTTTTTTGCCCAAAGTTGAGCGCTCAAAATTCCATACGAAGTACTTCCTTCAAAACACGGTTAATTACTGTTTCAAAATTGCTATGACCAAATAAATTAATTATGGCTAATTTTAGTCAATCTTAAATGGTCTATGTTAGTTAGTTATTTCTTTTATATTAGTAGCTACTATAAGCTTTGACAATGCATTTTAAGAGTGAAGTAATCCAAATTCTTCAAAAAAGCTACTTTTATGCAATGTAGCTTTTACTACATAAGTAGACTATTCAAGCCTTTGGGTATAAATAACCCAATCGCACCAATGGAATTAAAAAACAAACATCACTGATAAAAACATAAGGAATTTTTCTGTTGAAAGATATTCCAGAGATTTTCTTAATTAGATAAAATATTATACATTTGCTTGTTTCCAATCCACAGAGTCTTATTGTCACAGAAAGCATATATACAAAAGTCATACTGCTTTTGACTGGATTACCCACAATACTTCTCTTGGCATTAGTATTCTATGACACTATTAATCCACAGAACATGTTAATGTACAGCAAAAAGCAGCAAAAATATACCATACATAATCTATCCCAGACTACTACTTCATAGATCAGTCTATAAGCATCTACAGAGAACTGCCAAACATGAGTTACTGTGAAAGAGACAAGTGTACCCCAGAAGTTAAAATACAGCTGATCAACCTTAGCCTACACGTAACAGATAAAGAGATGACATAAAAGGAAGATGGTGGGGGTAGAGGAAGCTTGATTTTAAAAGTTTACCATTTCTTCTGATTTAACTTTGGTTTGTTCCCATTCTTCTTGTTGACAACATTAATTTTTCCATTTTCTAACCTGACTCCATCCAACCTGCAAATCATTAACACTAGTAATAAGTAATACCATTCGTATACAGTTCAAACCATTAAGAAGAACAGTTTCACAAAGTAACAGCACTTCAGTGGGCTCGTATTGTGAATATGAAAAAGGATCTAAATCATTCATCACAGAAAACTAGAAAGGGCCAGTTGTTCCTTAAGAGTCTTCACTGCAGATGTAAAATGTAACTGACATTCTTTCCACATCTTAGCTATCTTATTTATTATCTTAGATGAAAGCTATACTGCTATAGTAAAGGCCGAAGTCCAACACCAGAGGGTCAAAAATCTAGGACTTATATATACTGCTACCAGTCAGTTATCTGAGCAAAAACAGTGGTTTGGAAGAGATGGATGTTTCAGCACAGGCTTCTTTAGCACCCTAATTCATCAAGGAGGCTTGTGAATGGGATGGTAAAGACACAGGAGTGCTGCTGGTGGATTACAAACCAATACGCTTTCAAAGGGCAAGTGCTTTAACATGGAGATTTTACTTGGGAACTCAATTTTAGCAGCAGTTTCACATCTTTGCTGATTAACTTTGGCATTTGCAAAAACCACAGTGAAGAAAACTGCCCTGAAACAGCTCACTCCCTCCTTTGAAAGGGAAAGACAAATGCAGAAAAAAAAACCCCACGCAACCCAGTAATACAGTTCTACAGAGACATTTGGTCTCAATTCCATTAGTTTCACCACATAACATTGAAAATGCATCAGTTAAACAAGAATTTAACTTTGCTTTGTGTTGTTTTACACTACTGTCCACTGCCTACAGAAAAACTGTAGACTATGGACCACAGAGTAGAAATTCACAGGACTAAAACTCAATTAGATCAGCTGTCTCTAACAAAGCAAGTATGATGTTTTATGACAGTCATTCTGGAAAGTCAGATGATTTACATCAGATAAGTCTCAGAGAGCTCATGCCTTAAAAGATACACAGGACAGATGTTTTAAATACAAATGTCCAAGAGGTTCTAGGACACATTAAGGGCCAACAGCACATTTCCATCATATAGAAGCCTATTGAAAAATGATGCTTTACGTACATAATCATACTAAGAAAGTCTGCTTCTGATATATTCGAGGGGGTCATACATGCTGTCCCTTAGTGAAGAGCATCAGAACAAACTGATGTTGCTTTAAAGAGATGACATGGTGTGTGCTGTAAACTTTTATACTTATAAACAATAAAACAAGAAAAAAAGGCAAACTTATCAACCCCAAATAGCCTTCTACTTTAATATCACCTAAGTTAGACCACCATAGATAAAAACACTCCGTGAAGAGCTTGCCAGAATATAAATGCATTTCCTTTCACCTACCTTCCACTTAAATTGCTGAGTCCAAACTTCTTTGCAGCACTCTGCAACATTGTTATGAGGTTAGCTTCTTCACCAGCAACTTTGCCTTTTTTAGATTTGCTCTTCTGTTTTTCATTTATAACTTGCACGTGATTATTTCTATAAATCTCATATGCAGACTTTCCATTAACATTTTCATCAAAACTCATTTTGCTCAGGTTAGAAATTAAAGTATCTTGATATTCTTCTGATTTTCCTTTATGCAGGATTTTTGGTTTATGACCATGAGTCAAAAGATCACAAGTATCAGTGTATATGAACTGCAGAAGGTATGTGAACAGATCTGGATGAACTTTCTCTATTACATAAAGATCACATCCAACAGCATCTTCGTCTTTACGGTAGATGTCTGGAGCGTCTAGCTGGTTGTCACTGGAAACAAACAGCTTCTTGAAGAAGTCAGAGCGTACAGCCAAGATGTATTTGTGCACGGGGTAAGTTCTTGTGCCAATCTGAAAAGTCACATCATGGATGCTGTCCATTTCATCTGTTTCATCTAACAGTTTGCCAAAGTCCTCTCCAAAACTTGATAATGACACACTTGGAATTTCATAGAGACTAGAACAAAATGAAATCCATCAAAAAAACCCCACTATTTGCAAGCTCCATAAAATTTTACATAGTATGTTTAATGAAGAGGATGAGGTTGTTTCCATTTGGTTTGTTTGGGTTTTTTCTTACATTGCTGAACTACTCAACATTTCTTGTCCTATTCTTTACAAAAAGAACTAATAATATGGTATTTAGGCAATTAAACCATATATGTAAGATCTGTCTAGCTTCAGAATATAAACTATAGTATTTTGTCTTTAAAATGTAGCCAATAAATATGTATTATCAGAACTATCTTATCTTCATCTTATTTTTCCAACAAGAAAACACAGAAATGTTTGCTGTATTTCATATTACAATCCAAAGCAGTAAGGGAAAAAAGCTAATATTTACTTATCAGATATATTGGAAACCATTATGAGAGCGCAAGGAACATGGTTCAGCGCTCTACTTACTCATTTTACCGGAAACATTTTTTCCAAAGAAAGAAAGATCCAGTTTTCACTTTTATTTGAAAGCTGATTATTGGTGATCACCAAAGGGGTGAATTTCTACAGTATTTAGAGCTCAGAGTGTGTTAAGAAATACAGCGCAAATGCTTGCATTAAACACTTTAGATAAAACATCAACACTATCTATACTAATTATGCAAATATATAAGCTGAGGTCTTTGGGTAACTTCAACACAGTGTTTACTAACAAGTGCTATTCTCTAGCAGTATGGAAAACCACATTTACTGTGTCTCCTGTATGAGCCAAAAAATGGTTTTGAAAGGCAGAATGATTTAATTGCAATCACACACAAAAAAAAGAGGAAAAATTACAGTTGTTGGTATTTTAAATATACCTTGTTTTAGGATCTGACTGTAAAACAGCAAAATTGCAACCATTAGGATCAGTGGCAATACTAACAGCTCGGTGGACAAAAGTAAGCTTCTGAAGTCGAATTCTTTCATACACACTGTTTGTATCATGTTCACAAGACACATCACATGAAGAATTCTGAAGGTTTGATACAAGTTCTGCTAAAACAAAAAAAAGATTGGAAAAAAAAACCCAAAACACAGAAAGGTCCAGCTAATTAAAATGCAACTGATATAACGGCAAGATTTATGATTTCTCTGAGTCCATTGATGGAGTCACTGAGTCACTGAATAAGGCTAAATTATGCTGAAGATTTCAGCTCACTTAACTGAAATGCAGGAAGACTTTTAACAATAAGACTTTACATTACATATAGGAGAGTTTTTATCCAGAACTTCTTGCGGAAGTGTTTTGCCACTTCATGCAAGGGAAAACACTCCATCTAACATTCAATGCGACCTCTTGTGGAATGAAACAAGCTGTGCATCAGTGTACAGCAGTGCAACATTGTTTTCCTGTCATATCAATTACAGCAGATACAATACAATTGCCTTCAGACTTCATATTATATCAGTTTAAATTATATTCAAACTAATAAAATACTATTGAAAAAATGTGATATTCTCTGAATACTGGATTATTTTTCAAGAACTTGGTAACTGAATACATACACACCATTCACCACATTCCTTAAAACCTTTCAAAAAAACCAGCTCTCATTCATTACAAATCAGTGATTAACATCAACTAGACAGATGTGTAGAATAAAAGGAAGTAGCAACAGAGTAAAACTAGTATTCAGCTCTGGATTGAGCAACAGAGGAAAGATTTTTGCTGTGAAAGAATGCAAAAATGGACTGATAAAACTAAAGATGGAATCTCGGTATCAAAGGAAGTAGAACTGCAACGTAAAGCTATAAAGTTCAAATACATTCCAGGTTGGAAGTAAATCCATTTCTATCCATAGAGTTTTAAGACCCCTACATTAACAGGGCTGACAGTTTCAATTAAAATCTTGTCCTATAGTAGACAGGTATCTTCCTCACAGAAAAAATCAGTCGGGACCTCTCTCAGCAATATGAGCCAAGTTAATAAGGTGGAAATTGCTCTGGACCCTGTATTATGCCCAGATAAGGGTCTGGGAAACATAAGGTTTCACAGACTTAGCAGCACAAGCAAGTACATGCTCATTCTTTTATTCAATGCCAGTCTCTTAGGACTGGTCATCTAATATGTGACAAGATCACTACACAGGACCCTTGTACTACTATTACTCTTCAGAAGTACTTTTCTTCCTGGAAGTCTCCACCTGAAGGATAACTGAAGGCTGCAAACTAAGTAAATCTTAGCATTACTGAGGAAAGAGAACAGTAGTGGTCAATGCTACCAGCCGTCAGCCACAGAGGAAAGAACGAACTCACCACATAGTACTGTTAGACACTGTAAAGAGTTGATTAAACTTTTATATTGATTTGAAGTACTTAAAAACCATTAAGAAATCACAGCTAACCTTTCTTTTCTGAGATTTTTTTCCCTTCTTCCAGCCACTTCCCTGTAAAGGCTTCACCATCCTGTGTGACAAACATTATTTCGTTCCCATTTAAAGCAACATCAGACATGAAGACTTGCCGGCCATACACCCAACGACACTGCTTCATGGAGTTGTTAGATGACTTCCAGCAAAACACCTATAATACCATTTTTTCAGAGAAAGGGGAAATCTTTATATCATATAAAAGCAGTTACATAGTACACGCTACTTTTTTAAAACATAAGAACATGCCATCTCAAAGTTGCATATAAAAGGAGAAAGATATTCTTCAAAATTATATCCTAAAGTATTACGAGCATCTATTACAAAGAAACCCACAAGTAAAACAGGGAAAATCTATCATGATATCAAGATCCATTTGCCCATAGAGGGCATTTGAAAACTTCTCTGAATATTCTAACATCTTCACAGCAGTCATCTATAGGACAGTTTTTACTGACATTTCAATAAGGACAGCAAAAGGTGTCATCAAGAAAAGAAACAAGTTTAATCTAGTTCTTAATTTACAGATATGTCCAGCCAGTTTGCTTATAAATCAGGTAAAATTCAAAACTAGCACACCAAAAATTTAAACCATTTTCTGTTAATTGTTTGACAAAAATCTCAAGTTCTCTGTACCAGCTAAGGCTTTGGAATGGAGATCGTGACCAAACACAAACTTCAAAACATTCAACAGAAATGTGAAGAACTGCATGCACAGCAGGACCCCAACAAGGTATACTGCAGACATCTGAAAAAAGTGAGCACGAAGCAACAATCTCACACAAGGTAAAGCCAAGATGTGGCATTAGTGGTGCTGAAGTCGGGCGTTTGTCTTCTCCCATGGAAGAACCTGCACAGGTCTGTTAACACCTACATAAGGAGGGGACAAAAGAATTCGAGTAGCCTATTTCCTTTTCCCTCTCAGCCCTACAGAATCACAGAATGGTTGAGGTTGGAAGGGACCTCTGGAGGTTATCTAGTCCAACCCCCTGCTCAAGCAGGGCCACCCGGAGACAGTTGCCCAGAACCATGTCCAGAGAGCTTTTGAATATCTCCAAGGATGGAGACTCCACAACCTCCATGGGCAACCTGTGAAAGTGCTCAATCACGCTCACAGTGAAAAAGTGCTTCCTGATATTCTGACAGAGCCTCCTTTCTTTCCTTTGTGCCCATTGCCTCTGGTTCTGCTGCCACGGGGCACCACTGAAAAGTGCCTGGCTCCATCTTCTTTACATCTTCCCTTCAAGTATGTATATACATCGATAACATCCTCCTTAAGCCTTCTCTTTTCTAGGCTAAACAGTACCCACAAAGAAAGTACAATCAAGCCAGACCAGGAAGCGTTGATTCAGGAAACGGAAGTATTAAGATCCCATCCTTCTCCTTACTCAATAATTTATAATGCCTAAAAGCACTAAAGATCCCAGCACTTGCCAGTATTCAGCATGGAAAGATATGAAATGTAGGTTGACACAGTTCCACTGATGCAGGAAGACAAAAGTAGTTTCTTACTGCTAAAGCAGTGTCACAAAGATGTTGAAAGGGCACTATCAATACTACAGATGCTAGAGGCTAAACCTCACATCAAAAAATACTGAACTGGAAGCTTATAATCTCCGAGACAACTAATGACCTAATAAACACGTAAGATCATCCCAAAACATAATTCAGTTAAACGCAAGGAAAGAAAAGGAAATACCCACACTGCTCCCTATTTTGATATATAAGCTCAGTTTTTAACACTCTTTAAGGCAGCATTTCAGTAACGAAACCTTTTTGTAAACACCACTAGATGGCACTGAAGGTTTAGATTTCCCAGTGAGCAGATCTGGGAAAGGCTGGGGTTTTGACAGGTCCTATAAACTGTTACTCTATGAAAGAATGAGGGAAGAAAACAATAAATCCAGCACAGTATTCCAGCTGTAAGAAAACACAGTGTCTACATTTAACTACAAATGCTAAATCATTCACCATGTTTAGCTGCAACTTTCCAACAATAAAAGGGACATCTCATCTACAGAACAGCTGCTTTTCACCAAAGGCTCTAAAAATTCAAGTTCAGAGACTATGTCTGAGACTACTTCCAAAGGGTGTAAAGGTGACTGGGTAGGTGGGGTGAGAGGAGAGACAGGGCGCAAAAAAAACCCAAACCAAAACACCAGACCATGTATACTGTATAACCACTTATGTATGTGAAAACAAAGTTTACACATTCACTGAAAAGCCATTAGATGTTCACAGATTTAAAAATAAACTACTGTACATTACTTCCATATTCTTCCCATAGCCCTTTAAAAATAATAATAATAAAAAAAAAATCACTATCAGCTATATAGAAATGAATTGGGTATTTTCTATGCACGATTTTGTCCCGTCTTATGTTTAAAGTTTGATTAATCGGTATGTAGCTTGCTATATAATTACGATTTCTAGAGACACAACTTACTCTTCCAGCTTCATCCAGCGCTAGAATGCAAATCTTCTGACCACCATTTTCTTTAAGATGCTGGGTATCTACCTTATATTCCAAATATCCCCCATTAACAAGAACTTTTTTAAGGTTCAGCTGTCTGGAAGAACACAAAAGGTTAAATTAGTATTTCTTCATTGTGTACTTATGTTGCTTCTATGACAGTTACCTTTTTCATTTAAAGAAGCAGTAAAAAAAATATAGTTGAGGTAGTGACACTGAAAAATTACTTAAGTTTAGTTTCTCCCCACTGGTATTACTAACGTAACTGCTAATAAAATACTATTAGTAGACTGTAATTTTTGCTTTGCTTTTAAGTCACATCATATCCACAGGTTCTTCATAAAATTCTGTAAGTGAAAACCAGTATATGATTTAGCTTTGATCTTCAGCATTACAAAAATTATAGTTGTATAAATTTCCTTTAGCTGTTTGTGTTAGAAGACCTATCCTATCTCAGTAGGCCATTTCTCAGGTTTTTGGCGGGGTTTGTTTTTTACCTGATCAAAACCATACACATTATCTCTTTTTAGTTTCTTAGTATAAGAGCGCAGTACATAGTATTAAGTTTCTCCAAGTGCCAGCACCTTCATTTACAACCATGTAGAAGAAGTATAAAATAATCATTAAACTATAACCTGTCAATAAATAGTTAGAATTTGAAGTGAAGCTGAAAAGCTAACTGGGAGTTAACTGGGGAAAAATGCTAATTACCTCTTCTAATCTGTTATTGCAAACTAAGTAAGAGAGAATGGGATGAAATAATTTCCTAAATTTATGAGTCACAGGCCCAGTTTCTTCAACAGGTTTTACATCCAGGTGTTAGCATATGGTCCAGATGATGTCACAAGGTCCCCCTTGCAACCTAAATTACCCTCTATAGCATATTAGATCCACACATTAATTATGAAATTCAGACCCCAAATTACTGATTCAAAATCATAACAACATAACTAAATAGAATAGCAGATCTTTAACACCTCTACCAAGATGCATTTATACAAATTCAGGCTAAGAGAGGAACAAAAAATACCAGTTTCAATATTTTTAAACCTATGGCACAAAATATTTCCTCTTAGTATGTTTTTTTAAAATATCTTTGGTAAAGAGCAAGTGGCACCTTAGCCTCATCTAATAACAAAAACAAATAAACAAACAAACAAAAAAGCCAACATTTATATGAAAGAACTGCAAATGAAGAAAACTCAGGAGCACTCTATTCTCTCTACTTTATGCACAAAAATCTTTAAAATAGCTTGCAAGTATAAGTCTACAGTGAAATCTTCACCTATTGTACTTCATGACAAATTAGAAAAGTAACGCATACTTGGAAGCCATCTTTTTGCACTGATAGTCTGCAAGTAAATAAATATCTCCTCTTTCAGTAACGCATACTGTAGCGCCATCACTTGCAGAGACCAAGGACACAGAGATATCTTTGTGGTGTAGAGCAGAAACTTGGCGAGGTGCAGTTACACATTTTTCTCCATTAGGATCCAGCAGATAACCTAGAAAATACAACACACCCCAAAAACATTATTTGCCATTCCACACATTGTACATTTAAAGGACACTTTGCTACACTACTTTGAAGAACCTTTAAATTCTAAAAGATATTTTAGGTAGTTAGATAATACATCTTCAAAATAATTAGACAGAGAAGAGACCCACCACACATACTTGTTAGTTCACCACAAACACCAGAAAACATTCAATATTTGATACACAAAATATGACATAAGGCATATTCTACAGGGAAAACTATTTAATGCTGTTAGACTCTGTAGTGGTACTGCTTTTGATCCCAAAGAAAGAACATTTGGTCATAGTACAGTTCAAGACACTAGAAATACTATCACACTGGCATAAATATAGATTATTTCAGCCACTGGAAGATACCAAACAGGCTTGTCATAAAAATTACTCTAAGTGCACATAAGCATGAAGGCAGGCAGCTATGTGAAACAACAGACAAGGTTGGAGCTGTAATGTAAGGTCTCTGAAAACATATTGAAATAAATAAATAAATAATCAGGCCATTGCTGCTCTGCAGCATCAAGAAACCTAACACAAAGAATCTCATACATAACATAACCCTGCTCTGTGTGCATCATATCTGCATAACAGAGTAGATCAGGGCGCAAATATCCAGAACAAGCAGCAGAGCTACCCGTAAAGCTGCAAGTAACTCTGTCATATCACAGTGTAGTGCTATGCCCAAACATCTTAAAGAGGCAAGGTTTATTACCACAGGTCTGTCATAGTGCCCAGCTGACACAATTATACAGCTTACCATCCAATTACTGTCTCTGTATGGTACCGCACTGGGTCATGCACACACCAGAATAATCTCAACACCACAAGCAACCACAAAAACAACTTATATGATGGGTACATATAAAAAAGACCAAAAACAAACAAAATATTCACTAGTAAGATACTTCTCTGACAAAGACAAGTTTTTTCACATACCTTTGCAATCTTAAATAGGAACACAAAAAAGTGTCTGAACCTGATGCCAGAACTGATGCAGATTAACTGTAAGTACCAGAGCTAGCTAACAGTTTTGTTTGCACACAGATACAGAACTGCGGAAATGCAAATCCAAACCAACATTGCAATACCTGTTTATCAAAAAAGACAAAAGCAATTAAAATATCCCATTCATACAACAAATCAAGAAGTCCACTAGTTGGCAATACATTATTATTAGGTTCTTTCTTGACTTCAGAATAATACTGAGTTAAGTGAAGATTCTGGTAACGGCGTTGTTGAAAAAATTCTAGATGTGGGCAAGCATTTCAGTTTACAAAGTTAGTATGGAAAAAGTTATCAGTAGCATCTTTACAGCTCATGGTGAAAGGACATAGGCAAGAGAGCTGAATGCTAGTCTGTAATTTATTCAGGGCAGTACCAGCCAGACTGCTGGAAGGAGACAAGCATGCCTTGGGGTAATTTGCAACACAAACAGCAACATTCTGTTTCCTGAAAGTCTTCAGTAGCAGGACCACACAAGATACATGGAAGGCAAAAGAATTACAGAGTTCAAATAACAGAGCTAAGTCTGACTAGCTCCCATCATCTCAAAATGTGAAAGTGACTGGCAGTAACGAAAAAATATTCTTCAAAAGAAGTGTGAAGGGATAATGTCATCAGACTGAGTTTAAAAAAAAAACAAAAAAAAAACAAACAAAAAACAAACAAACAAACAAACAAAAAACAAACAAACAAACAAACAAAAAAAACAGAGAGAGAAAAGAGAAAGCTTTAACCAGGCTTCTGTTGTAAGAAGCAGATGACAGCTTTAGTACAAGTAACATCTTTTAATGGCTGGGTTTTACTTTCAGAATACTTCTACCTTACCTAGTTGGCCGCCATTCAGCCCCATGGTATACACTGCTTCCTTAGTCCATAGCACTGTATGGAATCTGCCTGCAGCCACTCCAATCACCATTCTACCTTTCAGGTTTTTTGCCTGAACCTAAGCACAAACCCAAAGTACATCTTAATATTAAGCAGCAACAGGTGAATTTCACATGTACAAACTTCTGACAACATTTAACTCCTAAAGTCATTAAGGATGAAGCATTGGTATCAATCCACATACAGTCTATTAAGACAGGATTATTTCAGAAGTTTGTCAAGTGGTGCACTATTGCACTAGTGACAAAAAGAAGTAAAATTTTTGCATTATCTAATCAGAACTAGAATCAAATCTTCTTAAGCTGTCTTCATAGGCAAGATGTTGAACAAGACTGCACAGGACATGTGTAAGACAGCCAAAGAAGACTCAGGTGCTGCAAAAGTGTCAGCTGAAAAGTTTCAGCTTGGAAGTCCTAATGCCCTAAACACACTGCAGAACACTATACTACTAATTCCACCAAATTTAACTTGATTTTCCAGATCAAGATGATGAATATCAAAGCAAATACTGCTGTCATTACACTACTGAAGAGCATCCCATTGTACCCCAAAATGCTATCCTGTTGCACTTTGGCCAATTATTCTTTCCTACTTTTATAACACTGGTAGTACAATGTTGTTCTACTCCACATGAAGCTTCCTTTCAATAAAAGGTAATGTAACTCTTTCTTACTTAAAAAAAAATAAATTAGAAAAAGTTAGAGATTGAGCATAGAAATATAGTCAAGTTGCTGATGCCCATACCCTCTCTTCCCTGTCGCTGTTTTTCCCAAAGCATTATGACTCCAGAATCAATGGTGTTTCCAGCAAAGGACACAACTATCAAACCCTGAGATCCATCATCCAGTGATTCAAAAGGAATAAAGAGCATGAATCTCAAGTAACACATACCTATTACTTTTAAGTCATTTCAGCTACAGAACAACTTGGGGAAGAAAAGGGTTTTGGCAATTGTACCTTGTATCATACCTAGCGCTACAAACTTTGGTACAGTTCAGGTTACAAACTAAGATGTTTATCAGGACACAGTTAAGTATTTAAGATTGAGATGTATAACAACACAGAATCAAGATTTTATCTGAACTCACATTTGACTTTATTGTCCTGAAAAAGTTTTGAAGTTATTTCCACAATCTTCACATTTTACTTTCTGTTACAAAAAAAAAACCAAACAAACAAACAAAAAAAAAACCCACACAAAAAAACCCAACGATGCATTGACTGATGTTATTTTTACCTGTCTAGGAACACTGCAGTTAGGAAGAGGAGGAAGAATACCCAACTGATGGAAAGTATTTAAACCAAATGTGTAAACATATCCATCTTCTGTTAGAACAACAGTATGATCCTTAGCTGCAGCTATCTGGGAGCACTGATGGCTAGCTAAGCCTTCCACAAGTCTTGGAACCTGAACAAGAAAAAAAAAATTGATATAAAAATATACTGGTTTGATATTAGCCAGTGACCGTCTATGAAACTAAAGTTACACCAACAGAAAGTCATGACCAAATACTGGTCTAGAGATGAAAATGCATTTGAACATACAATACACTCATTAACATAAATACCACATCCAATGCAGTAAGACAAACTACGTTCATTTGAAATGCATTCTCTGCTATCAGGGGAGATTTTTAAACTATCTGCTCTGAAATTAGGTTGGAAACTATATCTTTAGGACAGCTGGACAAACATTAACTATTACCTCTTCTGTTTTTCTTTTTAAATTACCACAAGCAATAAAGATTTCTCCCTCCAAAACCCAGGATAATCCTAAGAAAATTCCACAGAATAAGGAAACAGTTCTGTATCTTTGACTCTTCATGCACTCTAATGTAAGTTCTCCTTTATTTAACTGGATAACATCCCAATTTCAAAACAGCAATTTGCAAAAAAATTCTGATTTCACAGAACCACATTTTTTATAAAAAAGCATTAAGAATTGAGCTCCAGTCTTCACTATAACATCCAGCAACATAATACCAAGTTCTACCAGATACTTGATATTAGAAATTTTAAAAAATTATTGTGCTGCAACCTAAATGCACACTACCAGGTAGAGTGCACAGGATAAGATACTAAAGTCTAAGAATTGTATTGTCATCATACCTTAGTCTTCCCAAATTTTGTTTCTGCATATTGCAACAACGTACTATTCAAATGAAAATGATAGGCGAGTTTTCACTTAATAGCTGTGCAACTCTAGTCAGAAGCAACCCTACCATCACTTTTCATGCCACTACAGCTCCACGGTACTGCTGTTTCCTTTGTGCCAGGCTTGACACCCATCAGACGGCATCACAAACCTATTTAAGAAGCTAGCCCAGCCAAAAAACATTTATTTCCACTTATCTGGCATCAGCTAGCCTTTAAAACAACTCAGCCATAACACAGAAGTTTGACCACAGTATCTAGCTATCTTAGATTAAAATATATTTAAATGTACATTCTTCTGCTCTCTGCCACCTCACTAGTAGTACTGGAGAGGATTTTTTCTGTTATTTGTTGAGGAGCAAGGGGGTTTGTTTGAAATCAACAGCAAACTCATTTTGAAAGTACACTCACAGAAATTCTAATTCACTTTTTAGACTTGCTGTTTGAAGTAAAAGAAACATTGTGCTAGACTACACGAGATAGCATAAGACAGCATACCAGGCATGTTTGTTCATCACCATGACCCAAGCGTCCTCCTTGTCCATGCCCACACGTATAAACTTGACCTTTGTGGGAAAGGAACACAGAGTGGAATTTGCAGAGTACCACCTGAAAGAAAAAGGGAAAAAAAGGGGTAGGGAGGAGGCAGTACAGGACAAATTAATTTTCTTGGATAATCTGAAAACACCTGCCAAACCTACATCATAAAGAAGTTCAGCTTTAATAAAGACCTGTTCGTAAAAATACGAGTAAGATACTAGTATTAAAGCACAGGACTGCCAAATCAAGACACAAGGAACACAAAATATTTGCTTTAAATTTATTCTGTACTGCTTTAACCTACCTGAAGAGGCCTACAGTTTGTATTTATTAAAATAAGTTCAAGCATGGCCCTACAGCCTAACAGAAACTCAAAAGATTGAGTTTTAAGGGCAACAACACTGCCTCAAAAGCTGAAGGAAACATGTTAAAAGACTGCAGCACAGATTGCCTGCCCTGAATGCTTGTTCAAGTGGTACTTTAAACTTTCAAACATTCTTAAACTGAAGTCCCAAGAAGTTATCAGGGACAAAACTACTGCTACAGGAAGCATGCTTAACAGCACATGCTGCTTTCAACACAAGAAGAATTTTAATTCAACATGTATCAAGCAGATTCATTGCCCCACTTCCATTCAGTATGGGAGTTGCACAGGAACTCAGAAACTCTGAACTTATTTAATGATATACCAGCCATATATCCAAGGTAAATCATACTTAAAAAAAAAAAAAAATTCTCCCCACCAAAATAGAGAACCACGATTTCATTGAGGGTGATTGGGGAGGGGCAAGAGTAGAAAGCAGCAAAAGTAAAATACAGCAGGCCTACTCTAGTACTCCTTAGCTGCTCTAAGCTGCTTGCCAGATCAAAGGAAACTGCTTGCTGAGAAATAACTAGGAAGAAAGAAAAAGAGATGGGGCAGGGAGGAGGGAACAAAACACCAAAACCAAACACAACAAAAAAACCACAGACCCAACTTTTTTCTTCCATGCAAATTTTCACAACTTGGTAACGTCTTCGATACTTCTTCCCCCTCACACACCCCTCCCAAGTTCACCGAGAAAGGGGCCTATGTAATACATTAGGAATACCTGTTTGATATACACGCCATTCCGAGGAAAAAGGTCCACCAATTCAGGATGATGTTTACCCTGTTGACCACCATGACCCAAAGTAAAATTTATATTGTTTCCCCAGGTGTAGACTTCTGTGGGATCTGCAACGAAAAAAATTCCCTCTGCAGCTTGTAAATTTACCAGTCTTGTGCATACTGACTTTGAAAAGCAACTCCTGCTGTTTCTATTTAAAATTTTAAGAGGAAAGCTGTTTTTTACCTAAAACTGAACTTTAAAAATATTAATTCTTATGAGCAGTAAGGTGCTATGACAAAATATTTTAACAATAATGTACAGATGATCAACATTACTTATACATATTTTCCAGTTGCGGAAAATGCAAACATTCCTCAGCAGCAGATTTACTCGCTATGCTTTCAGAAGACAACTACTACTACCACCTTAGGTTATACATGCTTTGCTTCAATTTAGTAGCATTTCCCAAAAAATGTTATGCTGTCATGTATGAAAACCATAAACACTTTCAAATCAGAGATGTGGCCAAAAACTAACACTTCATATTTTTTAAATAACCTCTCAGTTACAGTGATAATCTGAACACCATTTTCTGATGAGTAAAAAAAACTGAAATCAATGTATATTTGATCATGTTGCACCAATATTAAAAAGATTAAAGCATTTTAACATATTTTGCAAGATAAAATTAGAAATAGCCAAAACTCAGGATCTGTGTAACCAAAATTACTAAAACTGACTGGAAATAAGGTGAAAAGAACATGTTTCACTGTACAACAAGACTGAACTTGGGGACATGGAGAAAAGGAGAAAGAAAGGGCATAAAAAAGTATAAAACAGCACAAAAATAAATAAATCTACTAGAAAAACTACTCCCCTGTCAAAGAAAAACTTGTGTGCTCAGAGTTATTCTTACATACTCATTTCCTGTTTGGAGAAATTGTATTTAGAGTGACTGTAACTAGCTTGTATCAAGCTACCTTGTCTAAAAAATATTCTGAAGATTAAGGAACATACTCTCTCTCTTCACAAAAGACACAGAAGTGATGTAAACTACTCTATCAAATTCAAAGACATTGAAGTCTCTCTGGCAACTTGAATTGAGATAAAAGAGAAAAATGACAGAGTAACTGAGGTTGAAAGGCACCTCTGGAGACCATCTAGTCCAACACCTCTGCTAAAGCGGGGTCAGCTAGAGAAGGTTGCCCAGGATGGTGTTCTCTCAGGTTTTGAGTATCTCCAAGGATGGAGTCTCCACAAACTCTTTGGGTTACCTATTATATCACTTACTTTTTTTTTTTTTTTTTTTTAAAACCTCTAAGTCAGTCATTATTCCTTCATTTTTGCTACACATGCATCCTGTGCCTACTACCAACACTCTGCACCTGCTGTCTTATGATATTAGTGACCCCCTGTCTTCAGGAATCTCATAACTTACACAGTCCTAATCAGATACAGAAAATATTGTCTGCACCGGTGCATACATTAATAGACTGTTGAAACAAATCTCCTTGTAAAATACAATTTAAGCTATTTGATTTCCTACCAGTTTTCTTGAACACCACGTGGACTGGCCTATCTTTCATCACAAGATCCAGGGCTGATAAGCCTTCTTTATCTTGAATGTACAGACTAACACCATGCTGAACGAGAAGGAGAGGAGGGGAAGAGAAGAACAGAAGTTAATTTTAACTCCTAACAAATCTTTAAATTAAGTTTAATATTGATAAAAGAAAATCTTCAGATTCAAGTAGACTGTAAGCAAATCTCAAAAAACCAGTGGAATTCTGTTCAGCCACGCATACATCATGTTGATTTAGTAACTAGGATTTTATTGTATGAATACTGATTGGGTAATAAGATGTAATCAGTGAAACACAAAGGAAACACACTCGAAGATAAAGCACTGCCATCTAGGAAGTGCAAATATTTACCAAAAATGCATTTACCAGCTTTGAAGAACACATTTTCTTACATTGGCATATTTACAGAATCAGTTTTGACAAGCTGGAGAAGTGAGAAAAATTTTAAGAAATCTACTATGGCTTTGAAAACAAACAGGGAACAGTGGTTCACAGTTGCTGAGAAAAGGCAAGAGGACATGAACAGACAGACAAGACAGCAGCAGGGAAGCTTCAGAAACATGGAGTATTAACAGGTCATTCCTTTAGAACTCAGAGAGATGTAGATATTCTCTGTAAATACTGTTTTCTCAATACAAAAAAGTGCTGCTACACCAGCATTGGTTTTAAGGAAGTCACATGTCATCAATCACATCCCTGAAGTGAAGAACTGCAGATATCCCCAAGCAGAACCTAATGCATAATGCAGCTGTACCCACATATCACAGCTCTTGACTAATATAAAGGAAAACCTTAGAGAATATCACACTTAAGAGGTAAACACATGAAATACAAAAATCAAGGGAGCACAATTCATTCAAGCATGACAGAAGGACAGCTAGCCACATCTGCAGTAGGGATTTTAACCCGCAACTTCATTTGGAAAAACACTAGCCAGAAGAACAACATACATTCTCCAAATTATAAAGGCAACCGTACTAGCAACAGTGTTGATATTAATTCACTATATGACAGAAAGACTGACCTATTTTTATGATTTAACAGGTAGCTGGATATTCTTCTCTTTGACAGTTGTGTAAGTCATTTACAAGCAGAACAGAGGCTGCAGTGATATTCACATGGTCCGAATTTGTAAAAACAAAACCCAACTGCTGAGTGGCAAAACTTGTAGTTAGGTACAATCTGAGAATAAGTCATAACTGCCTCCAGCCCACAACAGAAGTCTGTCATCCACACTAGCTGAGTACCCCAGAGGTAGATTCTGGGCCCAGTACTGTTTAACAATTTCAGTGATGACCCAGATGACAGGACAGAGTACACCCTCAGCAAGGCTGATAATGATACAAGACCAGGAGGAGCAGCTGATAAGCCAGAGGGTTGTGCTGCCATTCAGAGGGACCTTGACAGGCTGGAGCAACGGGCTGAGAGGAACCTCATGAAGTTCAACAAAGGGAAATGCAAATCCTGGCCCTGGAGAGGAATAACCCAGCAGTACCAACACAGCTGGAGGCCAAATGGCTGGAAAGCAGCTTGGCAGAAAAGGACCTGGGGCTCCTGGTGGACAAGCAGTTGACCACAAGCCATTAATGTGTCCCCACAGCTAAGAACGGTGAAAGCATCCAGGGCTGCATGTGGGATTATTGCCAGCAGGCATTACTCAGCACTGGCAAGCCACAGCTGGAGTGCTGGGTTCAGGTCTGGACTCCCCAGTACAAGACAGACATGGACATACAGGTGCAAGTCCAGCAAAAGACCATGAAAATAATGACTGAGGCATCTGACATATAAGGAGAGGCTGCGAACTGGGATGCTTGGCTTAGAGAAGGTTGAGGGGTGAGGGGGGAGAGTCTTACCAACATGTATAATACATACCTGATTGGAGGTGAGGGGTGGGGATCGCAGTGATATCCAGTGGCAGGACAAGTGGTAATGGACACAAATTGAAATACAAGAAATTCTGTTTAAACCTAAACCCCATTTTTACTGCACTGGTATTAAAACATTGGAACAGAGATGTCTGAGTCTCCATTCAAAATCCAACTTGACACAGCCCTAGGCAACATGCTCTAGCTGACCTTGCTCGAGCATGCGGGTTGGACTAGACAACTTTCAGAGATCTCTTTCTGGCTCAGCTATTTCGTAATTCTATTCTATAATCCCTTCCTGTTGTTGCTCTAATACTTTAAGAACATACCCTTTTTATAAGGCAGTACAGCAGAAACACTTCAGTTAAGGAGCTGGGAGGCAGAGCACTCTCTGTGAGTGGTTTCATTCTGCTTCTTAGAAGAAAATCAGCAGAGCTAGCTATCAGAAAAATCTCACTCATTTATGCAACTGACAGAAAATATGTCTGGGGAAACCTGTACAGGCCTCCTGTAAGCAAATATCAAAGATACAGATATATACACACACACTAGAGGACCGATTACTTTTTCATACATCACATACACAGTTTCTAGTTTTATAGAGGACAGAATCATGCGCAATTCTCATACAAACACCTACTTTTGTTAAGTTTAATGAAAACCTCCTCACTATGAAAGGGTACAGCACATGAAATATATATTTAACAGTTATCAGACCGTTAAGAATTAAAAAAATACTGGATCCACAACCATTTTTCTTAAAATCTTGTTGAAAGCAGAGAGTTTTATATTTACAAATGGTTAGTCACTGCAATTTAAAAAGGCTGAACTCAAAATGGAAAATTCTCTACCTTAAAAAGGTGTGCTTTTAAGTAATCCTGAACCACAAAGATTTCATTTTCTCATGTGGTTAAAGGGACCCTGAACATCTCATCCATATGTAGCTCTTCCCTTTGCTGTACTTGGGACAGGAGGAACAGAAGGAAGAGCAAACAAAAATATACACAACTTGCTAAGCAGCAGGGAAGAAACACCAATTGCAAGAAAGGAACAAGGGGAACTGAGCAAAAGCCCTGGCTAAAATATGAATGAAATGGGGATTTGCTTAATAAAATGCTCCATATCTTGAAGTGCTTATCTCTCCAATGTAAGATTCATTTCTAATTATAACTCCATTTAAGCTTTCATTATTTTAATGTTCTCTAAAAACACTAATTGGTATAATTACTTAAGAGTCTATTTTTAGAGTATCTTTAGTCTGATCACTCTCCACTTTTAAGATCCTGACCCTGATACCATCCACACAAACCAGTCTTCAGGGAAGTCCACAATTCATCAGGGATCCTTACTCAGTGCTGATTTCTGCATAGGCAAAGGCAGACATCTTTTATGAACACAGAGACAACCTTCAAGTAAATCAATGCACTGTGACCTAAACACAGTATTAAGACAACCCTCAAGAGGCTTTCAGTCAAGTTTAAAAACCCACTTTTGCATAACCAATAGAACTCTAAAAATTGTAGATACTGAAGAAAACTACAGTTGCAAATCACTCACCTTCAGTAATGACAAAACACAATCAATGTATCCATAAAATATACTTCTGTGCAAAGCTGTCCACCCAGATTCTTTGTCTTTTGCCAAGAGATCTACTCCTTTGGTCTCAGCCAACCAGTCTAGCACGCCTTTTTTGCCACAAGACGAAGCAAGATGTATAACATTTCTACCAAAGGCATCCTTTATAGTTGCAGCATTGTAGCAGTAAGAAGAGAGAAAGGCCTTGATCTGGCCTTCACTTCCTCTGGTTACTACAGAAATAACATCCAAAGCATGCTGTAGAGATCGACACTTCGAAGTGCAGTCTGGCATGAGAGAACTCATCTTCACTTCTAAAGCTGCTCCTCTCCTTAAGGGGAACAACCCTTAAGTGTATCAAGGCACTCCAATTCAGTACACAACACAGTGCCTTAAAAAATTTGTAATTCCAACGATGTAAATCCAGTTTTATTGAGCTGCCATTAGAAATCTTTGTACTGCTGTTTGGCACTTGATCCAAATAAATATTTATAAATATATATTTTTAGAAGTCTTATTTCACCATCTTATATAACAAATATTCTTGTCCATAGAAAATTCCAAAAGTGAACTACCTCAAGTGTGCAGAGGGGGATTCCCCCTCCACACTACCTTATTCTTCTAAAACTCCATAATTGCAAGGGAGACCTGAAAGAGAACAAACCAAAATAGATTAGTGCACAAAAATTCTGTTCCCCAGCAACCGTACCAATTTAAAGGCATATCAAACTAGCACTTGCAAGTACATGAACAACGTGGCAAGGGTTAACTGACCTGCCCCATACCATCTGAGCTTATACTCAGGCATTGAGTCAGTTTAAAAACCCATGACTCCCTTCCCCACCCCAGCCTCTAAAGGCAGCTCCTCCCTTTCCTTGACATAAATCTTTGAGGCTATGTGGTGAACTGGATCCAAAGAATCATCTGAAGAAGAAAAAAGCTTGCTTTCCCAGCCTTAGCATCCTCAGGACCCTGATAGTTTATTGTCTAATTATATCACTACTTTGTGATCAGAACAAGAACTGAACTAAAAGACTGCTGGGGAAGAAAAACAAAACAACAAAAAAACACCCAAGCAAACAAACAAACCAACCCACAAAACCACCCACCAAGAAATCCCCACAGCTGTTGAGTACACCTTGGCTAACTTGGCTAACAGAAGCTTTGTCAGTCACACCTAGAAGGAGGGAGGGACCACCACAGTTTCCCTCAGCCACTGCAAAAAAGGATTACACCTCCCTTTCTCTTCCCTGGCCTGAATGCCTACCCATCTCCCTACCAAGTCTCTTCTGCAGAATCAACAGGAAGGCTCCTCTCCACCACTCCTGGAGCTGCTGACAAAGGTGAGAGGAAGGACGGCAACAGAGCGAAGCAAAGCAACTTGTACAAGAAATGTGAATTCAGGATGTTAGCACTTATGCAGGGGTAAGGCGTAAAGCTCCTGAAATAGGCAGGAAGAAGCAAAGGTCTAGGTTGGAAAGGGTAAGGGAGGAAGAAGGGGGAAAAGGAAGCAAAGTTACAATATCTTTTCATGAGAAGATATTCATAGTCTGGGGCATACAGCCTTTCTGCTTATCTGTGCATACTTATCTTCAGCATATCCATCTTTCTCTAGCATCCACTTTCTCAAAGTAGAGACGACCTAACAGAAGCACTCATCTAGCCTTTTAGATGCGTGCAGTTATGTTTAAAAGGGTTACAGTACACGAAGCGCAGACTGCAGTGTAAAAATCACATATAAACCCATCTAAAACAGAAAAAGTGAACTATATACATCACTGATACACTCCCTAATTTAATGTGAACTACTATTCAGTCCAAAAAACCTTCACACTTCAATCTTTCAAGCATAATTTGCAAATCAAGTGAAGTAGTAATCAGTCATGTGTTACACTCGATGTTTCTGATTGCTATGCACACCGTAGTTTAAAGTTGTTCTACCCATGAGTAAAATATTCCAAAAGAAGCTGGGTACTGCCATCACAAAAGCTGAATAAATAAAACTAAAAATGTTAATAAATCCTCGGGGGGGGAGGGGGGGAAGATGACACAACAAACAACAAAACAAACAAACAAACACAAAAAAAACCCACCCTGCTATCTTTCCAGCTCAGCAGTCATTATAAATGTGCACACTCCACTCCTTGGCCTCCACCCCCCCTCCAAAAAAGCCTGTTGAGCTTAGCTTCCATTGCTTTTCAGGCACCGAATGTATAACCATATTCTGTTAACGTCTCTATCTGCAAAGACATGTCAGGGAAAGATGATTGTGTTTGGAAAAGAAAACAGAAATCCCCATCCTCCTCCTATTTCAAGAATTATCACCAAGATTGCCACCAAGCTGAAAGCAATCAGTTTAGAGCAAACACTAGTAATGGCATCTAAACTTTCAAGACAAAAACATTTCTAACTCAAAAGTATTCATTTAAACATCTCACAACAAAGCCTTCAACACTTCCTTTTCCACGTCATTCAGAAGGGATTAAATACTTGGAATGGAAATCTACAGAACAGAAGTTTTTCAGTGTGTACCTTCAAAACAATTTCAAACAGCAAGCAAATGAAGAAAATGAAAAAAGTAGGTTTTATTTGCTACAATTTAGTCCCTCATCCCTGACCAGAAGTAACATTCAGAAATATTTCAGAGACCAAAATTGACTACAACTGTTTAGCTTACATTTGTCACAGCAAGCTTCAGTTCACCCTACAGGCCATTTTACAACCAACATACAAACTTCTGCAGTAACACAAGAAATTTAACATATAATTGTGTGGATTCTTCTCCTTTCACCCTCTCTAAAGTCTCAAACTATAAAGAAAAGCGAATCACTGTCACAAGCTTGAAAAAAAGCTCTGGTTTCAAGAAGACAGCCTGACTTGCTGCTCCAAGGAATCAAAGTGTGACAGGTCACTGCTATCAGCAGATTCAAGATTGCCAGTGCATCAAACACCCTTCTAAACAGTAATCATTTTTAAAAAAATAGTTGGAGATCTACAGGAAAAACATCAGAAGTGCTATTATCCTCAAACCAATTTGTCACATTTCATCAATATGCCACTAGGCAATAAAATTATGTTGTGGACGAAGTATGAATTTCACATATGCCTTGTAAAGCACATCTTAGATATAATTCATTGTTAAGACATTGCTGTTAGTGCTACAAAGAAAGAAAAGTAAAAATAAAAAGAACATAAAGAAAAATTACTCAGGGAAGTCATTAAATAAAAGCCATAAATAAATCTGTTAGGTAAACTGGTATGAAATGGCACCACCACCCAAGGAAGCAGTCCTGCCGTGCCCCCATGCCATACCTTCCCTTGTGTAGGTACACGCCTATTTAAGACACTGAATTGCATGAGAAAATGAGTCAGAAGAAAGTAAATCCTGGTTCCAAAGAAACTTGTGCCATTACAAGAAAGGAACAGAGAGGCCAGAGAAAAACTTCTTTATACCACCTGAGCTCTAGCCTCACCAAACACCAAAATACTGTGAACAACAAACCACACGTTAAAAGAATAAAGTCTGCTACTTTATAGAAATACAACCCTGCCTACCTCACACTAACTTCATTATGGTGACATTTACTGCAGCTATGTGAAAACTGACTCTGCCGAATTATTTCTTTGCAAGTCATTCTAACCCAGCCCTCCTTTACTATAAACATTACAACACTAGATACTATATTAGTACATTGATATATACACCTTGAGTTTCGAGACAGAATGCTGTAGATCAAGTTTTCACCCCTCCATATTAAAGACTGGCACACCAGTAACACACACTATCACATTCTTACAATATCTGAAAAGGGTTAATAATCAGATCTGACTACTTTTAAATACAAAGGAGGTCCTTAAGTGAAACCTTAAAACTTTAAAATTGTGAATTGATGCTCATGTCTGTGTGAAAACCTTTATGCTTATTTCTAGTATATGGAGTCCCAGCTGAATGATCAGCACCTAAAATAAGCACTAAACAGGAACAGCACCAGCATTTTTTAAACTTTGAATTGAAATGTCTAGAATACAGTGCCCTTCTGATTTTATTTGCAGCTTTTATTTGCAGCTATTTCTGTAGGCTTCTCAGCACTAATGCTATTCATGTTAGAATACCAGTGTCTTCCTAATGCTGTAATTATTAAAAGACATAAATAGCTAAATAATATTATAATCTCTTAAACGTTTTTATGATACAATAGGTATCATTTGGAATTCAAATTCTTTTTAAAATTGATTCCTAATTAACATTTTCATTATAGAAAAAAGTCACAAAAAACAGAGGAATTGGAGCAGCATTCAGAGTATCCCAAAGATGTTTTATTTCAGCAGCAAGCAGATTTCTAAATTTTCCCTTAGAGACATGAGCTACTTATTATACATGTTCACAGCCCAGGAAAATTTAAAAGATTACAACCAACTTGGAAGCAATTCCTAAGTAGCAAGACAGTGTTTGTGGCATCTTGCCTCCTGGAAGTGAGTAGGTAGAGCCCTCTCACTCAGCTCTTCCCCTCAGAGTAAAAGGGAACTAAATAGTGGTTTCTATTTTCCATATAAAGAAGCCTAGAGTTTTCCTTGTGAATCCTAATATGCCTCCTTTAAAAAAAAAAAAAAAACAAACACAACAGTGTAAATAATATGGCTTTTCAGAAGATGCAAAATTCATTTCCTCTTCCTTTTGATAGTAAGTTGCTAAATGAAGAGAGTTATTACTGGCAATACCATATATTTCCGGAAGGCTAAGTCCATCCTTATAAGGGTATTGTGAGTTCTTAAAGATTTCCAGGGTCTAGCGGACCCTGTTGTTTTTTAAACAAGCATGCTGACATTTAATAATATTCTCCAAGTTGATCCATTCACACTTGTTTCATAACATTACAAAAGACCTGTAACCATAACAGCATGGAAATCCTGAAAATATTTGTACCCAAAACAAACTTCACCATGCAGACTACTTGATTAGTAAGCTAATAAAAAATAATAATATAATAAAAAAACACAAATCTAAAGCTTACAGAATTAAAGCCATGGGAATTTGCTACCACATTACTGATTTTCTGGGATTTTTTGTTGGCTGTAGTCTTACCTAAAGGCAACTTTCACTAATACATATTAAAGTAGTAGTTTAGACTCTGACAAAAGTGACTAGCAAATTGAAGCTGGGTAGTAATATAATAAACGTAGCACTGGCATTAAGCAACATATCCTCAAAGGAAACACAGATGAATTCCCAGATAAAGAACAGCAAACACACCCTTCAGCTATAAGCAGCACATTGTCCAAGGCTTTAAAGAACAGCTAGACTACTAATATCTACTCAGAAGACTACATATCTGCAGATAGTTTAACTTGTTCAGAAACTTCCTGCACATTAGTCCGGGCTTTTCAACCCCTTGAATTGTATTATTTGAATACACAATATACTGGGGGGGGGGGAATGATTGAATATACAAGGAAAAAAAAAGGCTAAATCTAAGCTATGCAGCAGCTTAAAGTGGTTTGGCAGTCATAAATTCCCAGAGCCTTTTAAAAAAAGTAGTTTCTTCTTGACTATATTACCGGAGCACTGCAATACAAGGAACAGAAAGCAGGAGTTCTGCTCTTCTCAATACACAAAACATCAGGCAGAGGGCTGCCTCTAGTTCAGATATCAAGTTTTAACAGAAGTAGGTAAATAGAAGAAAACTTTGGAAAGAGCAACTAAGATTCAGAAGGTTTACAAAACAACACATGAGTACAGGCTACAGGCTGAGCAAATTGGATCTATTTTCTCCTTCACCTGTAGTTTCTACAGGCCACCCAGAGCCTCTAAATAAGGCAGCTACTACATAAAGAAGAAAAATCAAAACACTAGTCCATTTTACCCCTGACAACGGGATAAGTAGTCATTTGTTCAAATTTCCTAAAAGATTAAGATTGTATGTCAGGAATCACCTTCAAATGATAAACTGAATGCTAGACTCTCAAAATGGACTAGACAAGCAAACCTTTCAAGTTTTAAATCAACGTGACCTGCCTAGAAATAAAGCTATGGAGGAAAACAAACTTGCTTTAAAAAACACCACGTTCCACCATGTCCAATATGTCCCCTGGGCCATGGCAGATCCAAGCTGCTTCATTCACTGCACGGGGCCCTCTGTGCCACAGCTTGGCACAGGTACGCCCCTGGTGCAGGCAGTCTTTAGAGGTCCTCCCCAGACTTTCTACAACTACTGCCTTCACAGCAACAACAGCATAATCCTTATCAGGATGAGACATTCAGTGATCCAGCAACTCTAATCCATTTGCTCCTAACAGTGCTAACAAGCACTACCAATTAAAGGCAGACACGTCTGTCAGAAAAACACCAAAGTACCATTGGTAGCTAAATTCAGCTACAATGCGTCAGAGCAGATCTATTAGTCAGGAATCATAGTACATAAGCAGTAAATTATGAAATACTGTGCTTGGCTTATCTAGAAATAGTCAAAACTACTTACATTTAATAACCTAACACTATCAAAAAAATTAAAACATAAAGTGGTATAGACAAAAGTACCAGTGAGTGCAGTTACAGGCATTTCCATGATACCCTGGGACCTTGCTCTAGATTTTATTACTGAAACACCTAACCCGAAGATAAGTCAAGAGCAATGATCCACGAATGTGTTCTAGCATTTCAGCACACTTAACACTGTACCTGATAAAGACATGAAGTCTTAGGAAAAGCTGACTTTTCTGAATGAGCTCTGAACTTTCAGTACAGTATTATTAAGAAGTACCCACATCTGATGTTGTTGGGAAACTATTTTTTTTTTTTGTAAACCGCAAATTGTGGTCAGTTTCCGTGAACACAGACAACTACACTGACCACGTCAGAAAAAAAAACAAGAGGCAGATTTCAGAGATCAGGTTGTTGGCCCCTAAGAAGACTGCACAGAAATATCCTTTTAAGCTAACTACGAGATTTCAGCTCTCTGGTGCTTATGCTGCTGCTCAAAGCCAGCAACGCTGTGAGCTGCTACCAAAAGCCACAGACAAGTATCACCAAGAAGGCCAGAAACACGACAGGCTTCCCGGGAATCTCCAGCTAAGGAAACCTGGCAGAGGCTGCTGCCAGTGTCGGGCGGGGGGGGAGGGCTGGAGGGGTTTCAAAAGGCAGCCCACGGCCAGGGGCACGCGGGGGGGGGGGGGGAGGGCGGCGTTTTACCTCCCATTTTTTTCTACCGCGCAGG